GTGTCCTAGTTAGAACAGCTGGGACCAGTTCATCACTGGATGGGTGTAACCCAAAACTGGGTATTCTAGAGTCTTCCATGCCATTGCCCAGAAACTGTTCTCAATGAACCATTTACACCCTCTGCCCATACAGCCTGACTCCTCAGGCTGTAAACTGGGTGTTAAGAGGCCTGTGAGATAGGAGGATGCTCCTGTCCTCACACCCTTAGTGGAAACTCCCCACCCTGAGGGAGGTACTGGGCATTCCTGCCTGAACCTGAGGATATATAATCTTGGAGTCTGGGGACTTTTTTAACCACTCGTGGGATCCAGAAAAGGACTGCAACCACCACTCTCAGCCAGACTGCAATCCCCACTCTTGACCAGACTGCACCAGCACTCTCATCAACAGGTTTTCCCCTCTCCTTTTCCTTTGGACTCAGGGGGCCCAACTCACACCCCTCTGTTCATGCCCCAGGGTGCTGGGTTATGCATTTGGGTTTTGTGGGTTAAAACCAACTGTTTGTCTGTATAATCGTACTTATTGTATTATTTCATTAAATTGTTATTCTGATTTATAATCTCTCTTTTGAGTTGGATTCATTTCCCCTGCCGGTTTACCTTTAAACCAGCACAAGAGCACATGGAATAATCCATCCTGGTCAGAGCACCAAAATAACTGCACAAATCTGTCAGTGAGTGAAACTGCCCAGAAAATACTGAAATATTGAAATACTGGTGCGTCACGAGGCACCGCTCCCCTGACAGGGCTGAGAGCTCCCAGTTTGAAGAGTTTATTTTTAATCATCCTGTCAGGAGGGAAGGAAGGAGCAGACAGCACTGGGAGGGGTGAGAGGAGCCTGAGCACCCCAGCCTGGCTGGGGCAAGGGGGCACAGACCACAACATTCTGCAGAATTCACCTTTTTAAAAGGAATTTGCACCTCTGTCCCTTTGGGCTGCAGCACATCTGCTCTGACAGGGCAAAAGGAAGGGGGGAGTGCAGGGGTGTGAGTGCTGGGGGAGGCTTGGGGGGCTGGAGAGGGATGAGGGGAGCTCTGTGCCATGGAAAGTACAACCAGAGCCGGGGTTGGTGTTCGAGGAGGAACAGTGGGGCTGGGGGAAGTGGGGTCAGTCTGAACCCAGCTGGGGCACAATGTGCTTGTCCTCAAATCTCAGCTTCAGCACCAGCATCTCCCCCAGGCAGGAAAAGCTGTGGATGAGGGGACTTCATCCTTCCCCTCCCCAGGCTGAGCACCCCCCGTCAGACCAGCTCCAGGTGAGGGTCATCCCCGTGGATGGACAAACATCCCAGGAAAACCTGCCCTGGCACTTCATGGATCCTGTCCCTGCACCTGCACCCCCAGAGCCCTCCTGTCCCCACACTGCCTTGCAGGACCCCAGGCTCACTGACAATGCCAAAACTGGAACTAGCACAGAGCTGTGCTGGAGCACAGACTTCCCAAATCCCTGTAATCCGTCAGGAGATCCCACTTACAGAGGAAGGTGAGTGTCTCCACGTCAGGAAGCACTTCAGGTGAAACTGGTTTTGCTTGTTCTACGTTTTCATTAGGAAATGCAAAGGACTGTAAAAGAGCTGCTGCCATCCCATGTCCTTCTTGGCACATCCGAGCTCATCCCGAACTCCAGTGTCCTCCCAGCTCTGCTGGGAATCCTTGGCTGGAAAGTGCTTTGCTGCCTCCTGATTCATGTGTGAGGAGTTCGACCTCAACCAGATGTTCTGTGGGCAGAAACACCTATTTGAACTCAAAACCCAGTGATTAGAGTTGCCAACCAGCCATTAAGAAAGTATTAAATGGAGAATTATCCCCCCCTTCCCATTTCAATACAAAGGCAGCTTCATTATACACTTGTTTGAGTTGCCTGATTTTAATTTTAGTTCCAGTGTTTCTAATAGGACATCCAGAACCATTTCACTTTATCAATAGCTCCTGTGAGCTGAAAAAGAGTCAGGGAGGGAAAAAAAGAGTCAATATCCTTGAGAATTAGACAAAGGAGAAAAAATTAGCCCAAAGATCTCACTTTCTCTTTCCCACTGATAACACAACTTCTCAATTTACTTGACCAAATTGCCTTGCAAAGAGGAGTATTTTTCAAGAGGAGCAGAGATGAAAGGGATTATTACTTATAGAAGCTCTTCTTTAAAGAGATAAAGTAGTTGGCAATTAAAGCACAAGGAGCTGCAGACTCCCAGGGAAGGCTGTGACTTCTGGAGCAGCCCCATCAGCATATTTTCCACTAACCCCTGGTTTTGGAAAGCAGTGATCCTGCTGAGGGGTCGGGGTGTGGGGCCACCAGCCACCTCCTGCTGCTGCATGGATGGGGGGAACAGGAACAATCCTTGTCCCAGAGCCAAGTCCTCTGAGGGATGGAGGAATGAAGGTTTTTCACAACCTTCAGTGGGGAAGAGGGTCTGTCTGCCCACGTTGGCTCCAGGTAACCTGCCCAGTGCCAGACTGGAAGGCCATGGAATCTCTGCCACTGCTGACCCTGAGTCAAGGCTGAATTTTCCTGGAAATCTGTTAGTTCAGCAGGAACAACTGGGAGGGCAGAGACACAGCAGCCTGGGGCTGGGGCCGTGCAGGGCAACTGGGACCAGCCACAAAAACCCATTTCCACGTGGGACAGAGGGGTTTGAAACAGCCCTGTGGAGTCCCTGCATCCCACTGGAGTTCCTGCATCTTGTTTGGATCCCTGCATCCTGCTGGGAGTCCTTGCATCCCTCCAGGATGACTGCATCCCATGAGGGGACCCTGCATCACACCAGGATCCCTTCATCACACCAGGATCCCTGCATCACACCAGGATCCCTGCATCCTGTTTGTGTTCCTGCATCCTGCCATGGTCCTTGCATCCTGCCAGGATCCCTGCATCCCACTGGGATTCCTGCATCCTACCAGGAGTCCTTGCATCCTTGCCAAGGTCCCTGCATCCTACTAGGGAATCCCCTCATCCTGTTTGGGGTCCCTGCATCCCAACAGGGTCCCTGTACCCTGCCAGGGTCCCTGCATCCTATGGGGGTCCCTGCATTCTGCCAGGGTCCTTCATCCTGTTTGTGTTCCTGCATCCCACAGGGGTCCTTACATCCTACTCAGGGTCCCTGCATCCTGCCAGGGATTCCTGGATCCCACCAAGGGAGCCTGGGCCCTCCCATGGGCAGGGCTGGATGTTGCTGCTGCTCCCACTGGGGCCCTGGACAGGGCTGGGCAGTGGGTGGGGAGATTAACACCAGGGAGGGCACTGAGGGCCCTGACAGCTGTGGCACAACAGCCCCCCCAGCTGTGGAACAACCTTTGCTTTCTCCTAATGGGGTCAATAAATATTTAAACAAGAAAAAAAAGGGGAATCAATAACCCCTGGCAGGAGATGAGCTCTGGCATTCACAGCGGCAGACCCGGTGCGGTGCCCGGGGGGGGTGGTCGGGGTGGTTGGGGGGGGTGTTTCCATCCCAGGGCAAACATGTTCCTGCATCCCTGCTGCTCCTCTCTCCCGTGACTAACTCCCTGTTCTGTGGGATATCTGGCAGGAGAGATGCTGGAACAGGCTTCCCCTGGGGTCCCTCACTCTGCACAGTGTCTGTGATGCTGGATGGGGACATCTCGGGGACGGTCTCTGCTCTCTGTGACCAGGGACAGGACCTGAGGGAGAGGCTGGAGCTGTGTCAGGGAGGTTTAGGTTGGATCATAGGAAAAGGTTCTTCCCCCAGAGGGTGGTTGGGCACTGACCAGGCTCCCCAGGGCAGTGGGCACAGCCCCAAGGCTGCCAGAGCTCAAGGAATGTTTTGTCAATGCCCTCAGGGACATGCTGGGATTTTGGGGTGTCCTGTGCAGGGCCAGGGTTGGGCTGGATCATCCCTGGGGGTTCCTTCCAGCTCAGAAGACTCTGATTCTTTGAGCAGGACAAGAGCTCCCAGCCCTGCTCCCCACAGCCCTGTTACAATGAGCTCCAGCCAGCTCAGAGCTGAACCACTTTTCGTGATCAAACGTGTTTTTTGTCTAAGTGTTTGTCAGCAGATGAAGATAAGGCCGTTCTCCTTTATAGGAGTTATTCCAAGGCTTAATTAGTTGATGCTTCCTGAAGTACTTTGAAGATGTGGAGTGTGAGATAAGTGCTGTGCTTCAGAGGCCCATCGGGCACTGCAGTTATTTTTTCATTTTACTTCTCATTCCCAAAGTGTTTGTACAAAGCAAATTCCACGGGAGCATGTGGGGCCCTGAGCAACCTGATCTAGTGGGTGGCACCTCTGACCATGGTGGGGGATTGGAACAAAATGATCTTTAAGGTCCCTTCCAACCCAAACCAGTCTGGGATTGCATCCTGCTCTGGGGTCCCAGCACAGGAAGGACGTGGAGCTGCTGGAGCGAGTCCAGAGGAGGCCACGGAGATGCTCCAAGAGCTGGAGCCCCTCTGCTCTGGAGCCAGGCTGGGAGAGCTGGGGGTGCTCACCTGGAGAAGAGAAGGCTCCAGGGAGACCTGAGAGCCCCTTCCAGGGCCTAAAGGGGCTCCAGGAGAGCTGAAGAGGGACCTGGGACAAGGGATGGAGAGACAGGATGAAGGGGAATGGCTTCACATGAACAAGGGAGGGGTTAGATGGATATTTGGGAGAAATTCTTCCCTGTGAGGGTGGTGAGGCCCTGGCACAGGTTGCCCAGAGAAGCTGTGGCTGCTCCATCCCTGGAAGTGTCCAAGGTCAGGTTGGACAGGGCTTGGAGCAACCTGGGCTAGTGGAAGGTGTCCCTGCCCATGGAAGGGGGTGGAATGAGATGAGCTTTAAGGTCCCTTCCAACCCAAACCATCCTGGGATTTTGTGATCCTTGGCAGGTGCTGCTCAGCAGTTTCTGACCCTGTCCTGCTCCCACCAAGGGCAGCACTGGTGTCACAGGGGGTTCAGACTATGCAGGACTTGGTTCAGGTTACGAGATGGTTTCTGGGGCAAAGTCATTACTGCCCCATCAATTTTAATTCAGGACTGAGAAATCATCGGTATAATTATTTACTACTGTGAGATTTCTGAAAATTATATTTCTGGTACCGTAGTTATTGATCTTGAAAGGGGCCATAAATTAACTTGACAGTTCACAGAGCCTTTCACACTTGGATAATTTCTCTGCTTGACTTCCACTGTGTGTTGAACTTTCAGCACCAGCCAATTACAGTCATTCAAAGTGCATATTTGAAGATTTTTCTTATGCAACTAGAAGATATTTTGATTATAATACAGAAGAACTTGAAGGAAATACCCAGTGCCTTCCACACTGCAGGACAGCTTGAATTAAGGTGGGTATGGAGGGATGCTGAATGGGCCTCATGGTGACAGGGGGGTGGCATGGCCATGCCATGACCCTGGGAGGGCTGGTGGCCCCAGGATCCCCCCAGGTGCTTGGTACTGGTGCTCCCCATGGGGCTGGCACCTCCCTGGGGTGACCAGGCAGCTCTGTGGCCTCTCATCCCCGAGCTGGCACCAGCAGGATGCAATCCCCACCTGACCAGCCCAGCCCACAGCTTCACATGTTCAGTGCTTGTCCCCAGAATTGACCTCTGATGGGAAAAAGGGATGCTCACAACACAGAAACACCTCCTGATCCACCCTCTGTGCTCTCAGGACATTGTGACAGGAACAAATCACAGCAAACCCGGGTTTCTGGAGGGGCCCCACAGCATCTCTGGCCTGAAATGGGCCAAATCCTGCACCCTGCAGGGGTGTGGGGCAAGTGGGACATGTGGGACAGTTGCTGCAGGGGCAGGAAGGACGTGGCATGGTGGCAACAGGAGGCTGCATCCCCATTCCATGAGGGGCTCCCAGATCCTGCCCTGTCCTGTCCCACCACCTCTGGGGCTCCTCTGTGCAGGAACAGGAAAGGGAAGGGGCTGGGGGATCCGGGGCCTCACGTAAGGTGGTGATTCTTTGGCTGCAGGGGGAAGACAACTGTGCTTCATCAGAAATCAACTCAGAAAATCAGCAACATCTGGTGCCTGCTGGCTGACACCACCCCAGCATGGGACAGCAATCTCCTTTTGTCCTCCCAGATTAAGGGATTTTGCTGTTTGCTCACAGTTTTGTATATGTAAAACAAGCTGGCCCTGACCAGGGACCTGCTGAAAGCCTCAGCATCAATCCCTGCCCAAATCCCCCCCAAAACCCTCACCCAAAGCTCCAACTTCAATCCCTGCCCGAAGACCCCCAAAGCCCCAACATAAATCCCTGCCCAGTCCCCCACTGGGCAGCACTTGCTGCTCCAGCCAGCCCTGCATGGACTCCCTGCCCCTGGGAAGGGCCTTTTGGGGTGACTCTGGGACCAAGTGGGGCTCAGAGCTCTGGCAGCCTGGCCCCAGCACCCCCTGCTCCCCCCAGGCAGGTGACCGCACTCGCTGCGTAGTATTTATTCATTGTATCACAGAGAAGAAAACCTCCTTCAATTAGTCCAGGGTTCCTCAGGGTGGTCCCAGGCCTGGTGCTGGTGTGTGAAAGGGGTTGGCCTGGGCGGGGATCCAGCGTTTCATCCTTTCACAGTGGTGGGAGACGGGGCAGAGTGGGCGGCCCCTCAGACCTCCATCTTCTTCTTCATCTCCATGCGGTAGATGATCTGGTAGCCGTCGTCCCAGGCGTAGACCTGCCTCTCCCGGGGGCTGTACTTCATGCTGGAGTGGGACCCGTAGCGCTTGGGGAAGTAGACGAGGGAGGCGTCCTCGGGGGCCAGGGTGCCGCTGACGTCGAACACGCACTGGACGCGCGAGCGGCTGGGCAGGCGCGTGTTGTACACCACGTGCAGGGCCCCGCACACCACGAACGCGCCCTCCGCGTTCTCCCGCGGGCACGGCGTGTCCCACATCTGCTCGATGTCCAGCGAGCCGGGGTCCAGCTTGGCCAGGCAGATGTTCTTCTCGTCCTCCTTGGTGGCGTAGATGGCCCACAGCCCCTCCTCGTCCGCCGCCACCTCGATGTAGGTGAAGGGGGAGAGCCCGAAGACGGGGATCTGCTCCTCGGCCGGGAACACCGAGCTGTCCACCACCGTCTTGTTGGCCAGGTTGAACTTGATCACCTGGAATGACAGGCCCTGCTGGCGGATGTAGTAGAGGTGCCCATCGTAGACGAGGTGCCCGGTGCCCACCCAGGGGTAGGGCAGCTTGATGCGGGCGGCCTTGCGGGTGGCGGAGAAGAGGGTGAACTCCCTCATGCGGGGGAACACGTACACGGTGTCGTTGGCGGTGCCATCGAACACGTAGATCTTCTCTGAGTTCCCCGCGGCGTCCTTGGTCCAGAGCCCCGAGGTGCTGCCGAAACGCTTCAGGATCTTCATGGCTCTGACGCTGGCAATGGTGTCGCTGCAGTCTGCAAGGGTGGGGTAGCCATGAGAGCCTGGAAACCACCCAGCCCTGCACTCCCACCCCACACTGGCATCTCATGGGTCCTGCTGCGTCCTATCCCAGCCCCCAGGCAACTGCCCTGCAAATGCACCCATCCCTGATGGCATTGGGAAGTCCCCTTGTGCACCCGTGCCATGGGCAGGGGAGTCACCCTCACCCCAGCCCTGTCCCACAGGGCTCCAGCCTGGGGCTTGGATGCGGCTCCCAGGCAGCTGTGGGGATGCAGGATCTTGTGCCAGAGACACCTGAGAGATGCCCTGCGGGGACACAATGCCGTGGAACATGGCCAGGGGAAACTTGGATCTGGTTGGGCTGGGAAGGCTTGGGGTTAACCCCACATGGGATCAACCCCACAGGGAGCCACGGCAGCCCCTCACCTGTCAGCTTGGTGTACTTCTCATTCTTCCTCTGCTTGGCTGTGGCCACCTGCTTCTCCATCAGGGTCTCATCCACCTCCACGCAGGGCGGTGCAGGGTTCTGTGTCTCCAGGTAGTCCACCTCCCGCTCCAGCCGGTCCACGCGCACCGCGGCGCTCTCGGCCTCCGCCCGCATCGCCTCCCGCTCCTTCTCCGCTGCCTCGAGCATCCCCAGCACCTGGTTCTTGAAGTCCCGCAGCTCCGTGGAGTAGCGGCTGCTCTGGTCGTGCCACTGTGAGATCCTCTCCTGGGGTGGCCAAGGGGACGCTGAGGTCTCCACACCTCACAGCGTGTCCCGCTACCTGCACGTGGCTGTGGGAGCCCCCGGGGCCACACGGCACCGCAGCCCTGGGCTTGTGTCCCTGGGTCCCACTCCCATGATGGTCCCGCTCCTGTGATGTCCCTGCTCCCACACGGTGCCCCCAGACCTGTGATGCCCCTGCTCCCCTGATGTTCCCAGACCCTCGGTGCCCCTGCTCTCCCACAATGCTCCCAGACCTGTGATGTCCCCACTCCTGTGATGCTCCCAGACCCACAATGTCCCTGTTCCTGCAGTGCTCCCACACCCGTCATGCCCCCATTCATCCTCATGCTGGGCTGTGCAGGGCCCTGGCAGGGGGTGCCAGGGCACCCCACACTCTGCTCCATCCCCATCCCAGCTCCAGACCCCACCGGCCGCCATGGAGGAAGGACTGGGAGCCCCACCACGGCATGACACGGGGTGACTCGGGGTGTGGGGCCCTCCATGGGGCTGTACCTCCAGGAGGGTGAGGCGCCGCTCCACGTACTCCATGAACTGCTGCTGCTGGGCACGGAGGGGCACGGCGAGGAGCGGCAGGAGGAGCAGGCAGCACCAGGGCCCCATGGCCGTCGGGGAGTGCAGCCTCCAGCTCAGTGCTCAGGAATGCTCCGGCCTCTCCAGCCCTTATTGAATCCAGATGTGCAGAGGGAGGAGAGGCTGTTCCTTCCCCGCAGACCAGCCCCGGGCGCCTTAACCCCTTCACGCCCCGCCGGGTGCCCACGGCAGCTCCACGTGGTGCCATCAAGCCCCGGGGCTGGGATTGATGTGTGGGGCTGGGATTGAGTCGTGGGAATGGGGCAGGGGACAGGCTGCTGGTGGGGTTTGTGGGATTTGGGGCGCAGGGAGTGCTGCAGGAGCCCCGAGCAGCAAGGGAAAGACATGTTCTCATGAGGGACATCCCGTGGGACAGCAAGGACCACGCTGTGCCACAGGCATGGGTGCAGCCCTGGTTCCTCGCCTGCAGACATGCCCGAGGCTGGTGGCCAACCTGAGCCTTGGCTGTGCCCAGGTGGGGTGGAGGCAAAGCCAGACCAGCACTGCTGCCACCACCCCCCTGACTGTGTCACCCCCCCATGTCCTGGCAGCTGAGCCAGGAGCTCCTGCCTGACCCCCTTGTGCTGGGGTCTTGTGGATCCCCCTGGGCCCCTCGGGGCCGTTGTTTGGCCACGGTCAGTCACCACCCTCAGCCAGGGGCTGCCCAGCGCTGGCTCCAAAGGTGGCCTGAGAGCCAGTGTGGGGCCACACGGCAGCTCCCACAGCCAGGGCGGGACAGGGGCGGTGTGAAGGACGGACGGGTGGATGGACAGATGGACGCTGCAGCTCCGTGCCCTGCATGCAGCCGTGCCAGGCGGCTCTGTGGGCACAGCCCGTGGGCTCCTGGGCCACGGGAACGGGCCGAGGCTGCCCGTCCGTGCCAGGTGCTGTGGTAGGGCGAGTGTGCCATCTAGTGCTGCCACATCCCAAATCCACATCCCAAATCCACTTCCCCGGCACTGCCGACATCCCACCCCGACATCCCACCCCGGATGCACCAAACCCCTCCTTCAACAGACCAAGTGACCACATGAATAGAGTACAGAAAATTAACCCTTTTTATTGATGCATTGCAATTGTTCTACATTTTTACCATATTATGTAGAAAATACTTAAAATACAAGCTACTTTGTAAAACCAAAGACAAACATTGAATCCAAAGATAAACTATGTTTTCACAATGGACCCTTTTCCCATATAGTTAGTATTAAATTTTTAAATATCTATTTCTTTTGTTAAAATGATTTTTACATACCCCCTAAGTACATCAGCAATACAAACATAGATCAGTAATTGTCAGAAACTACCTGTATCTAGCGGCTTGTAAAAAGGAAGAGCACAACCATAAAAGAAAGTTAAATTTTACACAGTAACTAGCATATCAAATACATTTAATAAAGTAGGAATTCCATTGCAATATCAAGGATTCAAGCAGAAATACTAACATTACATATAATGTACTGCTACATGTAGTGAGATAGATATAGTTCAAGCTGAATCTGAAATCACACATTATATAAAGTTTAGCAACAAACAACCATGTGGACATGCGGCACCATTCAGAAGTTTAAATAAAAATAAAAAAAGAAAGCAGGGCTGTGCCAATCCTGTCATTTAGAAGCAATTTAGTTTCATGTACTAAAAGAAATTGCTGAGTCAGAGGTAAATTACTGCATCCCATCAACTAGGTGCTAAGCAGGAAAGCCTTGGGAGTCGCCTCTGCAGTGGCTATCACAGCTGCAAATACAGGTCAGGTAAGAGAAAACTGATTGAACAGCTCAAGAATCACACAGACAAACCTAGATGGGACCACGGTCATCAAATATTCCAAAGGTGAGTCCCAAACTAGTTGTAAAAAAAAAATTAAAGTACTCCAATTCCTATCCAGAGATAGCAGATTTCTCTACAAAATACGTGTAGTGGCTCTGACAATGAGGAGAGTCAATTCTTGAACCCAATTTGAGGCTGGATATGCAAAAGGGAAGAAGGGAAGTATCTCCTCAGAGCACAATACACACCCAGACTGGGCATCACATCCTGGGGGCCAGACTGGGACCCACCGAGCTTGTGAAGCCCAGTGTCCCCCTGGCCCTGCTGGGCTGGGGTTTGCTGTGTATCACTGAGGAATTCTGGGGTATTTTGGTTCCAAATGGAGCACATTTGATTTTATCTATGTCATTTCCATCTCATCCTCCTCGTTCCAACTCTTTTGGGAACTTGGGCAGTGGAAGAGATGACACCGTGCTTCGGGAATACATTTGATTGGGATTAATTATGTTACAGAAACTCTAAATGGTTATTTCAAGCTGCTTTTTTGGGGGTAAAGTGGGCAAGTTCTCAGAACTATTAACAGATTTTGCTAGAGGTCCTTTTTCTTTTTTTTCTTCCTGTTAGTAAAGTGTTTTCCACGAAGTCCTATTTGTGAAACAGGGAGTTGGAGCTTGGTTTGCCTTTCGGTGGAAAGGCACAACTCTGTACACCCAAGAGGTATCTCAAGGCAAGTACTGAACACAAGCAATGTCAAAAAAAGCAAGAAAGTGCCTACAGCAACAAACAGCATCGTTTCCAGCAACGATGTGGCATAGCAAGGTTGGTTATCCACTTACAGAAGTGCTCTGACTACAAACACACTGAACAACAACGTGGCTAATGCTACCGTCCAGTTCCAAAGTCCTCGACCCCTCCAGCAAAGAGATGCCAAAACCTCCATCAGTTCATCCATTTCAGGGCAGTCCAGACTTCCTTCTATCAGGAACGTGGGGATTTCAGAAATGACTTCTGCATTTCTCACCACACCACCCCCCCCCCCCTCAGAACTGGCCTCCTTCCCACTGGGACGGAACATAAACTGGGATTCAAGGTTACCAAACCTCTTATTGCTGCAGTAACACGACCGCTCGAACCAGTTTATCATCCACTTGGACAAGATACTTCACCTACGTATTAGATGAGAAATAATTCCTAGTACAAGGGACCCGAGAAAACAAAGTGTAGTCCAAAAACTGCACTGATTATCCAGAATGAGTATTTCCTCTGAACGCTAACTAGGGCTACAGCTGACAGACCTTCCCAACAACTCCACATTAGCAGTAGCATTATAAAACTTTTTTAATGGTATTATGTGCTTTACAGCAGGCTCTCTTTGGTATAAATATTCTATCACCAAGCTAGCAATATTTTACACGACACGTCTGCTATTCCTGTGGGGGAAGGTAACGCCACACTAACCTAATAAAAGTGATTGCACATATTTAATCACTTCTGCAATATTAGACTAAACATTCCAATGCATTCCCAGCACTACCTTTTATCCGAAATGCACTGACAGACACTAACAGTACATGTGCCATTTTCAAAGGGGAAGCTTTTAAGGGGACATCGCTTCACTGGGAACAAAAACGGAGCTTTGATGGAGCGTTGGAAGGGATAAGACGCAGCTCTGCACCTCCTGCTGCTCTGGCTGTGGAAAGCTGGGTGAATTGCTTCAATTCGACGGGGGCTTGCTGGTCCCTCATAAGGCAAAGCTCACTGTAAACTCTAGTCACACTACATCATCATTTAAGGCACTACAATAAGGGGACACACCAAACAACTCTTCATCACACATACCTGTGCAAAACAAATCCGAAGGTATCCTTTCCTCTCGTGAAGCTCTAACTCCTCTCTCAGTGCTACAGTGATGAGCTCTAACCATTGCATTATATCACATACATTCCAACATGAATCAATTCATTTTGGTTTAAATACAAAGGATACAACACTTCCATCCCCAGGAACGTTTAAGAATTAGACAAACACTAAGTACAGAGTTCAAGTATAATCACTACACATTTTGATTACAAAGACAGAACATTTGGGGTTAGCAGGAAGTTTTGCTTGTTATATTTTTCTAATCAATATGTACATATTTCATTTTCTGTAAAATATTAAAACACCACCAATACAAAACTTCTAAAATAGTTTTAAATTCAGTAATAAACTTTAAAATCTGGACTTTTTTTTTTTTCCTTTTTTTTTTTTCTTTTTCTTTCTCTTTTTTTGTTTCTGGTTTTTTTGTTTCTGGTTTTTTGTTGCAATTCCTACATGCACTTACTGTTTACAAGTCTTATTAAGAGCGCTTTAAAGTAGCTGTTGACATATCCAGGAGGATACGCTCACAGGAGTATAAAAAGCTGTACATCATCAATACAGTGATGTTTCATTGTATTTCAAATTCATCTCCCTCCTAAATGAATCACGTGAGGAAAAAAATCATTAAGAAAAAACAGAACAAAGCAAAGCCCTGTGCTTCTGTGAAGGAATCCAGCTCCATTATAGGGCCAGCATCTAATAAGCTGCAGAAACCAAATTTTAGAGCAGTGCTGCACTGTTCACTCTCAACTGAAGACAACAACATCCTGACAGAGCTGCTGAGCTCTGTCACACAGTGAGATCCTGAATGCACTTTGAAGAACTTAAAAGAATTCTGCAATGAACACAACAGAAAATTCAGCTGGGTTATGGAGAATTTTCAAGAAAACAGACTCCAGGGTTTGCAGGACTCCTGAATATATCACGTTGCTGCTGTAAGGCAGCTGCCTCTACCAGTCCTTAAACAAAGCAGAGAAGTAAACAAAAAACCTTTGACAGAAACATATATGGAGATGTAATGGCTTTTGCAGAACCAGCAATTTGTTAGAGACAAAGTGAATTAGAGAACAAATGTTAAAATACTAAATCTGATTTTAAAACTGCCCCAGCAACATAATGAGATAAACATGCATTACATTTTTAGTGGCAACATGGATTTGTGCAAGCTGCTAAAATAGAATCTGCAAATCTTTTCTGTTTAAGTTACACAAGTTAAAAAAAGACATCAGGATCTGTCTTCCAAGACACTGATTTGACACCCCTTTTGATTAGCACAACAGAACAATTTTAAATAAATGTGACCATGAATTTTTTTTTAAAAGCATCTATAAAAAGTAAGTAAAATTTTAAAAACTTAATTAGTGACCCTCGTACTGGTAACAAAACATGCTGCCCAGTTAGTGACCGAACTCACCAGAGACATTTTGGAACAACACACACCCAGGTCAGGGAGAAACACGAGCCAGGCAGTCATTCCCAGGTAAAGGTTCACCTGAAATCCTTCTCCACTCTCTCTCTACTGCAGGACAGTGCTTTACTGGGAACTACAAGTAGGAGTACTGGTTGATCTTGGTGGGGCTCAGCGGGTATCCAGTGTAAATAGCAGATCCTCTGGAAGCACCAATATAGGACTGGGGAGCAAACTGGTGTTGGTACTGGGCGGGTGGGACGTTGGAAGTCAGCAGACTGGGCCCAACGCTCACGGGGACCTGGTGGACGAGGGTGCTGGGGTGGGCAGCGTACGTGGGGTGCCGGGAGGAGCCCTGAGGGGAGAAGAGGTGGGCGATGGAGGTGGTGGAGCCCAGCGTGGCCGCCGTGGTGGGAGCGTAAGTGTACATGTGGGGCTGGCTGGACAGGTGGGCACTGGCCGTGGCTGCTGCCAGGTGGGGATGCACTGGGCTGCTGTGCTGGAACGTGTAGGGAGCCTGAGAAATAGTTGACGTGAGGGGGGCCACGTAAGCTTGCTGCCTACGCGGGACAGCATTTCCACTTCTCTCCTGGGAGGCCAGCACTGTGGTCTGCTGGTTCTGCAGGGAGAAGAAGTAAATAAGGTCAGTGGTTACCCCACTCAGGGGATCCCCCCTCAGCGCAGGAGGTGAGCAAGGGTCAGCCAGAGCCTCCCCATCAACACCTCCGTTCTACAACGCTCCTGCAGATCCTCCCCTGCGAAACCCTCCCTGCAGATCCTCCCCTATGAAACCCTCCCAGAGATTTGAGAAGGGTGGCTGCAGTTCCACTGAGACAAAAATGACACTTTTTCCCTACAATGGGATCAAACTGCCACACCTGGAGTGCCACAGGACACAGCTGGACAGTCCTAGGACCGATCCAGCCCTTGAACTCCTCACAATCTACTCCTCTGCACCTTGATGAGGGTGGCAGTAGGGCTAACACATTTTAGGACAAAAACCTGTCTTGTGCCCATGCCAGAAACGAACTGGAAGTGTAACACTCCCTCTCTTCCCAAAGGCTACTGCAGCGTGACTCAAAGGTCAAGAATCGTGACAAAAACTGAAGTGAAACCAAGCTCTGAAAGTTTCAAGGGAAGTCAGGGGCTAATTTTTAGTTCGAGGAAACAAAGTCCAGCCTTAGTCTCCTGGTTGGGCCTTTGTGAGTTCTAGAGAAAAAAGGTAAAGAACAAAAGTACTGTAGTTGTACTGTGACTTCAAAGCTACTCTAATTCAACAGCTGGATCTCTGTCACCCTCCCACCTGAGTGGCAAGAATGACCTGCTGTAAGACAGGTATGAACATGAGCACAAAGGAAGAATATGGACATAACCACACTTCCTTCTCCTGCCCTCTGGTACAGGGACAAATCCTTTGCCTCGAGAACCTTCCCTGTGCTCCCTACAGAGTCTGTCCCACCCTGCATCGCCCCGGCACAGAATCAGCTTCGAATCAGAGGTTGCAGCTATTGATCCTCCAGTCATTCCCCCTGCCTTACAGCACTGTGTTCCCAAAGCAATCCTAAAGCCCCACAGGAGGGGTCAGCAGAGCCGGGCAGTGCTCACCTGGCTGAGGTTGAGGGGCTGCACGCCGCTGGTCACCACGCGGTGGGAGCGGTACCCCGTGGGGGTTATGCAGCATCCTGACGACTGCCCGCTCACCGAGGCCACTGGCTTGGTCTTACTGGTGCTGCTCAGGATGCCTGAAAGATTTCACAAGCTTAGTCCATTCCTCCCTCTCCCCTGCACTGTGGTAACCAGCTCTGGGAAACAAAGAACGCCCAGGGGCTGTTTCTGTCACAGCGACTTCTCTTTAATTATGATTTAAAATGCGGTTAAGAAACCATCAGGAATGTTTAGAGATCTTTCTAAAAGCAGCCAAACATTAATGAAAGGTAAATCTATCAATGACATTTGAAACAGTCTAATTCTTTCAGAACAGCAGCTGTGAAACCTAAAGCTGCCAAAGACCCAGAAAGTCCAAAACTGTGGGAGTGAATGTGCCAGGGATGGGACACACCTGAGCCCTGGCAAAGCTCCTGGGCACAGTGAGCTCTGAGATACCCACCTGAAGCCTGGGTGGCTACAATGCAGTCGTTGAGCTGTGTTTTCAGGGGTGGCACGATGATGGTCCGGGAGCTGGAGCTGTCGGGAGCGGCCCTGCTCGGCAGCTCCAGGGCCCCTCCGGTGCTCCTGAGCGAGGACAGGGGGTCTGTGGCATAGGGGCTGTTCAGGGAGGAGTCAGAGTCAGGGGAGTCGTTAACAGTGACGTAGCTGATGACATTGGATCTCTGCTTCATGCCCAAACTGCAGGGGAACAAAAAGACAGAGCACAAAATGGAAAACATTCTGGCTTTTCCCACCAGAAAACAGGAGCTCTCCCTCTGGGATCTCATACCCTCCCTCCTCGTGGGACAAAATTCGGGTTAACTAGAGAACCAAGAGCACAGCAGAATTTTATGTCTTATGTGTTCCCCACTCTCCCTGATCCTTGGGCTGAGCTCAGCACAGATCAGTCCCAGCTGCCCCAACAAACCTCCTACCTGGCAGGTTTGTATTTGCTGTCCTCTTCCTCGTCGGTGTCGCTGCGGATGGTGATGACACTGACGGGGGGGCTCGGAGTGTCCGGGATCACGATGGGCTGGTGCTGCTCCTGCACTGGGACCAGCACGTTGGAAGAGGAGGAGGTGGAGCGCAGGGGGCTGCTCCCAATGAGAGAGTACACTTGGGTGGGCACGGTCTCCAGGGTTGAGCTGGGCCTGGGGGAAAACCAGAGCAGGATTCAGCTCTGTGTCAGCAGACTGGGGCAAACAGCACTAGGAACAGGCAGGTTCCAGCAGGCTGGAGCTTACACACAAGCAGCAGCATCTTGACAGACACAAAGAGGAGCTCAGTGCAGAGCACCACAGACACATCCCAGAAGCTATCAAGGCACTCAGGGATGCCCTGAATGGGACTGATCCACCTGAACACTGCCAGAAACCTGCCAGCCCTTGTTTGATGATTCTGTCACCTGCATTGCTATGGCACCAACACACCCTGAATGTGTAAAACCCCTTTGGCCAGGACAGTAAAACACTTGGTCAACCACATCCGTGTACTCACTGAAATTAGTTTCATTTAAATCAGTGACTACAGCACAGAGGTTTTTTCCAAGACCTCTTGAAATGCAATTGTAGCACAATAAAGTTACACATTCAGTGCCTCTGTGATCAGAAAACACGTTTTTCACACCATAAAGGCCAACCTCCACAAACCAACCCATGGTTTTTCTAGGACTGGGAGAGGAAGCAATGGGATTCTTACTTGGCTGTGCTTGGTGCTGGCTGCTTGTTCTTCTTTGCTGGCACATTGCTGCTCTGCTGCTGCCTCACAACATGAGCCACTCCAACGTTCAGAGGCTGTGCTGTAGCCAATGTCACGTGGTTGGTCAGCAGAGATGGCTGTTGCATGAGAGTGCTGTACTGATTTCCATGGGAATGTGCATTCCTGGAGTAGAAAAAAAAAAAAATAAGAGGCCCAAATCCCATGACTGCCCTGCAGGAACTGAGCTCCTGTGAGATTCTGAGGGGAAGGGAGACATTGTGGGCACTGTGATGGCATGTATTCCCAGCTGGCACAGAGCTGGAGCCCATGCAATCCCTACCTCCAGTCAGCCAGCTGCTGGCTGCTGCCGATGGTCTCTGGGATGACAGCTGCTGGCTGGACAGAGTTGTGCAGAGCAACCCCTGGGAGCTGCTGCCAGGTGGAAGGGAGCAGGATCTGCTGGGTTCCCCCCGGCCAGGCCTGCTGCAAAACAACAAACACACACACCAGGCTCACTAGACTTCAGTTCCTACAGGTGCAGGGAGAGATCTGTCCAAGCAATAAGTGCACCGGGGTGGATTGTTAACTTGCAGAGGTACAGCACATCATTCCAAAGGTCTCAGCACAGGAGGATGACAAAACCAGAGGAATGAGCTTCCTCTGAGACTTTGCTAATCTTTTAGGTCACTGCTGTCACCTGGGGAAAGGAGTTTAATATTGTTTTGCAGATGCAGCCACACTGCACTGCCAGGTGCAGCTTGAATGCTCAGGACTGTTTCTGTATGTAAATTTGCACACCCTGTTCTGCTGAAGGATTCCAAAATACTAAGCCAATTTGGTGCTTTCTGTTTTTCAGGGCTCACATTGAGAGAGTTGAGATGGTGTTATTATTGTGGAAATCCACCCATGTCACCGAAATGTTTAAGAAAAGCCACACTGAGAGATAAGTTAGTTACAAGGGAGATATGTGAAGAATAGGTCCAATTAATTAACATTATCAGTGTTCCTGTCCAAATAAATTTGACAGGAGAGTATTTCTATGATTTTGACAGGATAATATTTCTATGATTTTGACAGGACAATATTTCTATGATTTTGAAAATATCTCTCTCTTGCAGTTTAAGCTGCAAAACCTGCTGTTTTATATAAAATATTTCTGCAAGTAACAGATCCACTTAGTACAAATACCAGTTCCGAACAAGAAGCCTTCAAAGCAGAGAGCTGCTAAAACCTCTGCCAACATAAGCGGAATAATCATAACAACATTGAAAAAAATTAAAAAAATAAAAAGAGAAATATGTTAAAAGTCACACCATGCGTCTTTCCAAAAGCCAACACCTGCACAAGACAAAGCAGAGAGTTTAATACAGCAAGATATAAATTCCCAATGAGAGGCAGAAATCGGGCCTTCCAAGCGACGAACTGTTTTGACAGAGGAAGGACAAAAATATGCAAAGCTTAGCAAATGGCTAATGCAAACTCAGGGGAAGCAGCAAGGGAGAAGTGTCGGAAGCACTAAAGGTGAGCAAATTCACGCCAAAGGCTCCCAGAATCCAAACAGAACTAGTAAGTCCTCCAGGGAAACTCAGAATCCAGAGTCTGGAGACAGCTGGCTCGGATCTCCACGGCTGTACAGGGGAGTTGAACGTCAAGTCCACTGCACACACACAGGAGAACAGAATTTGCCTGTTGAATCAAAAGCCCAAATACACTTTGGAAAGCATCACTAACAACTCACTTGTGTCCCAAGCTCTGCTACAGTCACCCCTTGCTGTTTTTGGAGGTTAGATTGCAGCCTTTCAGCAATCTCAAAAGGAGGAAAGGAGAAGCATCCCTGGGTCTGTTTAGCTCAGAGCTGTGACCAGGAGAGCCCCACTCTCCTGCCTTCCCATCCTCAGAACCAGGGAGCAGCTCACTTGGTTCAGAAGAACTCAAATGAGTGGGTCTGAATTTCAGGACAGGTATGACTTGAGCAAATTCCACTTCAGCAGAGACCTCCCTCTTGGAAGAAAATGACATTCAAACTACCACTTCAAAGCCACAAGAAACAACATGGTTCACACAATGGAATGTGCTTTGAACGACATGTGAGGATACCAGCACTTCAGTGCACTGCAATGTTTTCAAAAGCTTCACTGATCTGATTCTGGAGTTTTACAATGACTTCTTTGTGGCACTCGCAAAGTTGTTCTCATGCAGGTGCCAAATAAATACAGAAGAGGACAATTTTGCAAATGGACATTTCTTAAAGGTGTGTTTATTCCCTTCCCCCATCCTTTTTTCAAAATTGTTCCAAATAACCTAAAAGCTAGCTATTGCCATTTTGGATACTAGAGCTCACCTTTAATTTCAACCAAGAAATACATATCAACTGAAAGTATCTGTGAAGAACAGAATCTTTATCTGGATGAAGCAAGCTACGTGCGATTGGCTATAAATAACAAAAGGCCAGAAAATTATTGTCAATGTTCAACAGAGGTTAAGAGAAATCAACTGCTAAAGCAATACATTAAAGGATTTGCTGTCATTAGAGATTTTAGCCTGTGCTTAATGATCTGAAACATTTCTCCATGCAAAGCAGCTTTAAACATGTTGAAAACAAAATATGGAGCTAACTTGCCAAGTAGGTCAAATTCTGGCCATCCAGGTACCTGTAGCAGAGTCAAGCTAAAGACTGATTCCTTTGTATTCCACAATCAAAAGGCAAAGATAGGAGAGTAAGCGAAGAACAAGAATGATTATAACTCTTCTAGATTATAGCTTAGAAGAGCTTTAAATACTAGGCTAGTAAAAGTCATAGTCAATGGATCTGGATTCTTTACAGAGCCACACTAAACGTCAGAGTCAGACAGTGCTTCAGCAATGTTGGGGAGGAAAACAACGAGACATTAAGATGTAGCAAGAACACAGCCACAAGATGGCACATGCTTCCATGCCCTCTGCAAGTCTAAGTTAAAACAAAAACTCAGTTAGTGAACACAATCAAGGGAGGCAATTACCAGTACTGCAGCCGTCTGTTCGACCAGCGCCGGCCGGCCGGCTGCGCAGTTCAGGGTAAAGGGCACCGCATACTGCGGCGTGATGGTGGCTACTTGAGGATGAAGAGTTGCTACCATTAGTGGTGTACAGCTCCCCTGAAATGTAGATCAGGCAGTGAGTGAAACACAGAACCGAGGCAGGGCAGTGGGGTCAGCAATAGGGCCAGGCGAGGCGTCACCTCGCTGGCGTTTCTACGGTGCGTGAGCGGGCGCCGGGATGGGAAGGGAGGCACTGAAACCAACACCCAGACCCTCCTCTAAGCACCTCCGTGGCCCTGAGGGGAACGTGAGGGACAAGGGATTTGGGAACAGCATCTCTCTGATGACACAGTTAAAAATGAGACAGGGTCGAGCTATTGATACTTTGCTGGGCCCCAGAGAGCAAGTGGCACCCTCACGCTGCACTAACCACGGCACAGGCTGTACCCTTGGCTCCAACCTACCTCCAAATCCACACACAGAACCCTCGGAAAAAGGCAAACTATGGGATTTAACAGAAGGCACAGCAGGTCTTTTGTGTCATCAAAGAACGAAGTTATCCGAGATGAAACCACTCAGACACGTATTAGTCCATCAAATGTCTAATTGAAACTAGACTATGAGTGTGTAATTTTTAAGTCTCAGGAAAAGCAGGGCTTGGATTCAGGTGGCCCTTCAAGTGGATTCTGCTTTTTGGATACTGTTACCTGCATCATTATGCTAAAGGAACCAGAGACCACAGAATGCCACCAAAATTACTTGGACTGAACAATTTAAAAATTACTCCTCTACAAGAAGGTCAGTAAGTTCAATATAATGCCTGGAGAGTAAAACTCACAGAGTATGTGTTAATGCCAGCAGAAACTAAAACTATGCAAATAAATAAAAATGCACTTAATTATAAAGGTAATTACAATTTTTCAGTGAATATAACTTGTGAGTCACTGGGTGCTCATTGTATATTAAAGCATTACTTTTTGGAAATAAAACTGATTTTAATTTATGACACATTACTAATGTTTAAAATAGCATTCTTAGCATTATTAGTCAGTTTTGTTATTACATGTTAAAACTGCAAACTACAGAAATAGGTATGTCATTGCTACACATTAATTCACACTCAGAATGTAACTAGTTGAGAAGGATTCAGAAATAATTTTGTTGATTTAAAGATGAAATTTTATCATGAATAATCTGCGTTGTCTCCTCTGTTTACTGAGATCTCACTTCTCTAAGAAATGGTTTCTCCTGACACCTTTTTAAAGTGTAGGTAAAAATAACACCCCCCTCATAAAGCAGTGTACACCCCTGAAAAAACACAGCCTGTTTTTAGCAACTGAAAACTACATATTTATTCCCATTATTAATTCAAACTCCTGAAAGCAGGGAGGCACACGATATAAGACAGTTTAGACTTTAAATATTCCAGAAGAACAAAACAAACCAAGAAAAGACTGTCTTAGAAGTGGATCTGCATTTACCCTTTCAGAGAGTTCTGAGAACCCACTGCACTCCCCCCAGCACGGGGGGGCAGGCAGGTTCTCCTGGATGGAGGTTGGAATTGCAGTTAATTCTGGGGGGGTTTGGGGTGGTTTTTTTTACCTGTGTGAGAACTCCAGACTGGATCTGCAGTGGCTGTGCTGCAGGTGCTTGTGGCACAATTGGGACAGCATTTTCCATCCTTACTGGGAACCCAGAATGCTTTGTAGTTGCCTGAAGTCCAGCTGTGGAGGACAAGATACATCACCACTAAGCTGATTTATTATTCTTTGTTTGTTTGTTTGTTTCCTAAATCAAATTCCTACCAGTAAAGGCAGAAGACAGGGCTGGATTAAGAGACAGAAAAGCTGTTCCCTGTGACAAAAGCCTACTAATAAATCACCAGCTGAAGTAAATACTTCTGCTGAAGGGCCGTGACGGACAACCAGTTGTCACCAGCTCAGCTCTGTGGAGTCTTGTCTTCAGAAACACAGATAACACAGACACCTAATTCTAAGTTGCTTGAGATCAATTCCAAAGTTCAAACCTTCCACTATCAGTTCCCATTTCACACATAACCCTTCAGACCAAGATAATCCAGGTACCAGCATAACTAGAGACCTCTGAGGATGAAGGGAGGGATGAACAGAGCCTGTGCTGAGCTCACAGATTCACAATCTGTTGCCAGCAAACGGCTGCCCCAGGGCTTGGGAACTGAGGCTCAAACACCACATATTTGCTCTTGAGATACAAAACACAGCAAGACACTTTCTGATTCTCAGGCAGGTCTGGCTCCTCTGTTGCTGCTTTCTGTGGAATGCTGTTGTGTTCAGTTTGGGGGGAAAAACTGGTTGAGCAACCAGCTGGAGGCTGCAACCCAGGCAGGCAAGATACTGTCACCTGTTCTAGCATGACCTGGAAGAGAATCAAGTTGTCTACACATGTCTGACCTGATTCTGCATTTACTGATGCAAGAGCACCGTGTGACACACACAGGGAGCTCTTCTCAACTTCATACTTCCTCAGTTTAGTGCAAATCACAACTTCTCCAATGCCTAATTGAAACCACAGGACCACACAAAGGGTTTTCTGCTTACTTTGAAAAGCAGGGGGACAAACAATGAAGGTCTGCTGGAAGGGGTCAGTCTGTGTGCAGATCTGGGTGGTTCCAGGCTGCAAGGAAACACTCTGCTGAGCCACTCCTGCAACTGGGGCTGCAGATGATGGGTACAGGGCAGACTGATAGTTTAGCAGGGAGACATCCGAGTTTGCCAGGGAAAGAGTAGCAGCAGCAGTAGAATTGGATGCCAACACACTGGCCTAGGAAGATAATTTAAAAAAAAAAATAAAGAAATCAGACTTATCTCTCGTACTTGTTATAAAACAAACAATAGGAACCATCAGTATTATACTATGAAGCAAGGACCATGAAAAGGTTTAAGGTAAAAGGCGTAAGATATAGGAGAAAAAACATGAATTACTCCAACTTTACTTACATTGCTCAACTGACAGACAAATTTCCCACACATGAAGTAAAGAGACTGCCTTGGCCTGAGTTTTGGAAAATTAAACTTCAAGACAAGACTATAAATTTTGCAGAGGAATGTAAATAAGTATTTTGCAGAACAGGCTTTGGCCTGAAGGCACTGAATTAGACTACTCCATGTCTTTGATTAGTGTAAAACAGGTAAAAGATGCTGTACCTGGTTGTGTACTGTGTTGAGCTGGTTGTTAAAGCTCATTGTCAGGTTTGTGCTTGTATTGGGAGCAACGTGAGTTGTGAATGGGCTCTTAATCTGATTCACTGTATCGTACATGTTAACCCTTCGCTTGCAGATCTCCATATTCTGAAAGCAAGATTTCACACTGGAACAGAGTAACAGAAGGAAAACATGAGATATGTAACAAGAGCACAACAGAGACACGACAGATTCCCAACTTTATGCACGTTTTAGGTTTAAATTCTTTTTTTTTTTTTTTAAACCAACAAAAAAATGTCTTAAAACACGAAAAGGAAGTTTATGAACATTCCATTCCTTACACATGCCACTGCTATTTTCAGGTTCAGCCAGAAATTGCAGAAAACAGCACTGACAGAAAGTAGAAAAGTGCTGTTCTGTGCTTCCAGTAAATCCTCCTGAAACAAAATAAGCAATCTAAGGAAGCTTACTGGTTACTGTGGGGGAAGTCCAGTAGATGTGTCATTGTAACAAATGGATGGTTCAAAGTCTTCAGTGGAGTAACTCTCTTATCTGCATCAATTGTCAACATTTTCTTCAACAAATCAATATACTCCCTTCGGTCAGCCTTCTCTGCCAACATGTCGGTGCCCTCTAAGTCTGTAGACATATTCACCTGAAAAATGAAATGAGAGCAGGTCACACAAACATCAAATTAATGCTACGTAACAATTCAGTGATTTCACACGGCACAGAAATATTTATTAACCATTTCTGTCTCTGAGCCAGAATCATTTCAGGTAGTGCAGCACTAACACACAACCTTTCCCTCGCTTCTTCTATGAAAGGAAGTCAAATTTAAATGTGGAATTCTCATCTCAACATGAAGTTGGTCTACTCAAAGACACCAACCAGGCTTCACTCTCCCCTGCCTGGCAATCTGCCCTCATGTTCTGGGGTGCTAGAAGGAGCTGGCAAATCAGAATGGGAAGATTCTACCTTCTCTGTACAGATGCAACATAATGGTAACACCTACAAAAGTGATAGAAAATTGATATTTAAGATTTCAGGCCTCATGATATTAAAAACACTCAGATATTCCTTCATTTCACCTCTGAAGAGAGAATGAAAAATAGAATGATCTGTAGTTACTGTCAATATTTTCAAAATCCAATAACAGGCCTAATCCTATAAACACATTTGAAGGGGCTTAGCTCTCCTATTGCTGGTGAGCACATTGAGGCATAGGAAAACACAATAAATTTCAGACAGGTTCATAATTGACATTTTGACAGCCTTTAATCCAGTGATTTCTGATGCAAACTGGCACCGTGGCAAACCTACACCAGTGCTCCCAACTGCAAGTGGAAGAGCTGATTATTCCAGCACAGGAGCCTCATTTTTAGAGATCCCAGTGATTAATGATGATTTTAGAGATCCCAACAACGTATGGAATCAAGTTCTCTGTGTCCCAGGACCCCCACACACCTGCGCCATATCATCCAAACAGTTGAAAATATATTTCCGAGCCTCTTTTGATTTGATTCCTGTTTCCAACTCATGTTCTTCTGGGGTCTATAAAAGAGAACATTCATTAACATAAACCGAGATATCACATACTGATAAAGAAAAAAAGCAGCAAGGAATTGCTGAGTCAGGTTTGCCTGTTTCACACAAACCACACCCCAGCAGGCCAAACCCCAGCCATGGGTTCTCATTCCCTCAGCTGCAGAGATCATTCCTTGCAAAGCTGAGTTAACAACAGGATGGCTTCATATCAAGGTTTCCTTAGGCTGTGCATTAGCCCAAAGAACTGAAGGTTTCTGATTTAGGAAGAGAAGAGGCTATAAATATTTTAAATCCCCCTTCTATAAAGAAGAAAGGCAAAATCCCCTTCCTTTTGCTGCTCAGCTTTAAAGGCAAATCAAGCCTACATCTGATTCTTTCCTGTCCTCTGCCCATCCATAAACAGATTCCTGTTAAACTAACAAAGACAATCACAAAATACTCGGTATTTTACTCGTTGTATTGTCAGGAGATGACAACAAGATGACACACTTCCCCAAGAATGAGCAGCCCATAATAAGTAACCATTATCTCAATTACTTTAACACCCACCCTTTGCTGGTACTATCATGCACAGCTGCCATTGTTAGAGCACTACCAGGGGGTCTGTACAGCCTCTGAAATTAAAATACCCCAAAACCAGCTACGTCTGAATGGCATCTCAAAGCCAATCTTCACTCAGAATGTTCTCACAGCACACTAAAACTAGGGGGGGATTTATATCAAGTCCTCCATGAACAGAAGAGAATTGGGGATAGAACAGACAGACAAACCTTTAGCCTCCACAGTGGGTATCCCAAATTTGGATCTCTGTTAAAAAACCTGCTTGTTTTCGTTCCTGCACTGAGAAGATACTCTGCTGGAAGGCCTTGAGTTTGTGAAATATAACGAATCTAGGAGAGAAAATGAAAATAATGAGGATTCCCAATATAAAGAATTCATAGCTGATGGAGTAATTAACAGCCAGGTTTGCTCATAGCAAATAGGAAATTACCTGTAAAGAAAGAATGCCCTGATAACTAAAACTGCAAAATTAAAGGGACTATCTCGAGTATTTATAGGAATACTTCTTCAATTATATTATCTGCAAAAATTTGAGGTTCTTGTTTTATGGAAATATTTTTTTGCTAAAGTATATGTAAGCAGACTTTTAAGACATTAAGCAATTTAAGAAGTGCATATTTTGAAAGAAAAATACCACAGAATTTTTCATTATGTATATATAATTAAAGGCATAATTATCCAAGCAACATTTCTGTGCCTGGCTGTATATACTCCAGGCACACAAGTTCAGAATAATGTCATGGCAAAGCTCTCATTGACAAAAAAAAAAAAAGCAAACCCCTTGTACAGTCAGATTCTTAGATCCTCAAGCAGTTTTAATATACTTTATTTTATATCTAAAAAAATGGCTTGAAATTTTGGGAGATGCACCTGAATCCTTGTGATGGTATTGATAAGACACAGGTAAAGAGATAACAAATAAAAAGGTATTCTCCAAAGGAAAGAAAACAGCAACTTTATGAAAAAAAACACAGTGTTAAGATAACTATGCTTTGTTCAAACCATCAATTACAGGACCTTTAGGATGTCTCATTTCTTATTTGCAAAACTCCTGCTATTCCACTGTGCCACAAGAGCTGAACATTGCAGGGCACTGAGCTTGTGATCACATGAATTTATGGGCTCACTTTTCATTTAAGCCAGTGTGGAACTAAGTGTCTGCAGGTGAGTCCTTTTTGTACCTACACAAGTTCTGCTCTTTTTACGAGACATAACTCTTGCTTTACAGCCAAGGGGTGTTCAAAAAATAGCTGTAAATCCCATCCTGACCCATAAACTCATTCCTGGAGAGGTCCTCTCACAGGTTCCACCTGAGCTTTCACTTGCTGCTGCAGCATCTCAGGAAACATGCAAGCAAGTCATGCCTAGTTTTCAAGGGAAATTCAGACATCAAAACCAACCCCGTGAAGTCACACCTCACTCTGCCTCACAAAGGACTGCAAAATCCTGTCATGAAGCAATGGAAAAAGCAGCTCCTCCCCACCCACCTACACGAGCAGATAAGGTTCTCAGAATTACACAAAATTCAGTGTACAAGGAAACCACGGTGCCCTACCTCAGTTACTTTCTAACTCATTCTGCTCATTAAGGTACCACTGTGTTTCCTTTGGAAATTTACTGTGCTGGGAAGACATATGACAAGTCAGTTTTCAAACTTACTAAGTTTTCATGTATTTTATCACATAAGGAAAGCTATACCCAGCACTGTAACAAGATACCACCATAAAAACCCCTGTGGAAAAGCTACTCTCAAAAAACCCCTCTTGCAGACTTTTTGTCCTTTTATAGGCACAGACCAGCCCAGGTAACAATGCCAAGTGTCCACGGAAAGGACTAATTAGTTCAAGATGCCTTTCAGAGTATTTCAAAGGCAGCTTGGGGCTCACACTTTGCATAAAAAATGAGGGCTGCTGTAGGTATTAACAGGGCAGGAATGATAGGCTTGCTCTGTCTCCACATGGAAAAACTGCCCTCATGGTGAAATTACAGAGAGCCTGCCACGTCAGGACACACACCTCGCTTCTGTTTTGACAGGAAGGTGTTTCAACAGCTTTTGGGTTTGGAAATCAGGGGTTAACTGCAAATTGGACCCTATTTTTGCACAGGATACATTCAGCTCAAGTGGAAACACAGAGAAGTATAGAGACAGGCAATGGGAATATCACAGGGGGAAGATGAATTTCAGATGACAAACAGCAGTGTGTGCTGGGTGACAGCTGACAGAGGACACATGGGGTTCAGAGGGTCATTGTGGTTTCATGTGAAGATCCCACATCCACCACGTGCTCCCACCTGATCATACTCAGATGCTCCTGGATACAGAGGCCAGCCCAGAAACAGCTCAGCAATCACACAGCCCAGCGACCACATGTCAATGGCTTCACAGAACGGCAAACCCAGGATGATTTCAGGAGCTCTGTCAGAGGAAAAACAAAATAACAGTAAAATAATTTCTTCCCCTATAAATAACTCTGGAGAATGACAGAATATGCTGAGCTGGAAGGGACCTGCAAGGATCACTGAGTCCAACCCCTCCATGCACAAGTAAACCTGTGTGAAAATAAATTATTCACTTTAAAGCTGAAGTTGTTTCCTCAAGCGGCCTAAGGGATCCCAACCTTTTCATCCCTTAGTGGCATAGCTGGATTCATTTATTGCCACAGTGCCCCTCAACTCCTAGGAGGCCTTTATGCACCTGTGATATGAAGTTACTCCTTGAGTAATCAGTTTAATTACACCTGACAGCAAGTGTGGTGTGAGGTGTCCCTGAGACAGCACATAGGATCACAGAAATATCAAGGCTGGGAGAGAACCTCTCAAAAATCACTTAATCCAACCTATCCTAACAGAATTGGGAAGAAAAGTTCTGGCAAACAGTGCTCAGACTTTTCTTGGAGGGAGGTCTTGAGACCCCAGGTAAACCAGCTGCCTGTTTTCCACGTGGAAAAGAAAAGCATTTGCAGAGCCAGAAAAAGGAGCTCTGCAGAGCAGTTTCTACCAGCAGGTTTTCATGCAGGGTTTGTTCAGAGTTTCGAGTTTAAAATGGACGGAGAGGGCCCAGCTGGAGGTTGTGTTTCAGGTTTCTGTGCACTCAACCACACCTAATGCAAAATGTACCTGCCTGGCCCAGCCTTCACCAGGAGGTGATGAAAAAAACCCTCAAACTCCAAGCAGGGTTTGCTTCTGTAACAGGTTGGAATTTCAGGGAAATTTCTGTCTGGAACTGACTCATAACACAAAGGGATGTTTCAGTACAACTCTTCACCTACACACAGCTCTGGAACAAACTGATGCTGTTCCGGCAGGAGAAATTCTGGTCACACATTTGCATACAGCCTAAAACCCAAGTGCTGCAAAACCCAAGTGAGCTGGTGTGGGAATTTACTCTGGAAAGTACAGGAAATACGAAAACCTTGAGCTTCTTCATGCATAACTAACACAAGCACACAGGAAGCAGAAAAGCCCTAAACTCCAGGCTATCTATTTCCCGACTGTGCCTCAGGGAACGTGTCCCAGGGCTTGTGTGGCATTTCTTGTGTTACACTCTGGATGCTTCAGTTGGTAAAAGAAGCTCTGAAAGCAGTCCTGATCCTTCCACAGGATTCTAAAAACCAGGGCTTGCATAATGCACAGGTGTCAGTAAATCTGACACTCGACTGCTCAGCCAGAATGTGCCTCCCAACTGTTTGTACATGGCAAGAAGTGACTCCCCAATTAATCACCCTTTGTGCTGTGGTGACACAGATACACCTTTTGTTTTAGGTGTCCACACAGGTGTCTCTAAAACACATGCACTCAGCCCAGCTGCCCACGCACAGTGCCCCTGAGAAAGGACAAGGTCTATCAAAAATGGCCAGGCTGGATGGAGCTGGAACAGCCTGGGCTAGTGGAAGGTGTCCCTGCCCATGGCAGGGGGTGGAATGAGATGGGCTTTAAGGTCCCTTCCAATCCAAAACACCCTGTGATTCTCTGATTCTATAAAAAAGATAAGCAGCTGAACCAGATGCAGTGAGGTCACTGTTACTGTCTATCATCCACCTTCTAGCAAGGAGGTTTTAGTGTGTCTGACCCCATGATGCACCTTTAGTAATCAGAATAATAGATTATTCAAGCTAAGACATTCTATTCTACCTTCTTGTTTGTTTGTTCCTGGCAGTTGTTGACTTTTATATGTGAAAATATAAAATGATTATGCAAATATGGTCAGGATCTGATATTTGAATGCTGAATGTCCTGCTAAACATTTATACTTTAAGGAAATACGGCAGAATAGATCCAACTTTCTACAGGTTAACAGGTGCAGACAAGAGGAATCTCTTCCTTCACAAGCAGAGCAAATATGGTTCATTCATTCACTCAAGAATGAATTCTGAAAACAGAACCTCACATGCCTTTAGTCTACAGAGTCATCATCAACAAACTGCACTGATCCTCTTGATTATGTTCCTCCTGATGCAGGAAATTCCAATTCAGAAAGGACCCAAACCTGTCATATAAGGAATGCTGCATGCCAAAGCTTCCTTGGTTTGGACTGGTAAACAAACTAAAATATAAATGGCTTGTGGAATATGCAGAGCATGCTAATCCTTCACAAGTGTGTTAAAAAAACCTCACCAATTCCAATGGAAACACAGATTTGTGGCACCAAAGGCTGGATGTGACAGTTTGTTAGTCTTTAACTCCAGGCTGGAACAGATTTAGGTATTCCTAAATCTCAATATCACGATGATAGCAAGTTGAATTATGTGGATTTTACTCCCTGCAATTAAATAAGTGAACTTCTCATGAGCCACCTGATTTCATTCTGACTGCAGGACAGAGCTGGGAAATCAGAATCCCTCTCATGTCCCTTTACACCACTACAATTAGCAGCATTAGGAGATGTGAGCTGGACCAGGCCAGCAGGCTGAGGTCACTTCCATAGCTGCTCTGACAGAGATTAAAGCGATTTTACCATCTTAAGCTCTTTGAAATAAAATCAACACCACTCTTTGCACACAGGCTTGCCAAGCACTGCCTTCCAAAGCTGGCAAATATGCTCAGGCACTCTCAGAAGACAGAGGATTCACAGCAGCCCCAGAAAAACCCGAGACTCACTCCGAGCATTTCCAAACACCCCATGTTTACACCTGTGCCTTCATCCCTCCCCCTGTGAGGGATGATGGGAACAGGGAGCTCCTACAACTGCAGGCAGCAATGCAGGGAACAACGGGGTCACCCCTTGGAGCTGGATTAGCAGGCAGAGTTAGATTTGGCAGCAGGCACTGCTGCTTCCCAGGCCAGTATGGCTGGGACAGAAGTAGGTCACGGAGCCCAATGCAGAGGTAAGAAACGGATACTCCTGCATTCTGCAAGCTCCCCCCGTGCTCTGTGCCACCTCCTCGTGGCCCAAACTGTGCAGTCCTTCAGCTCAGGACCTTCAGTTTGTGCTCTCTGACCCACAGGCAGCACCAGGAGCCGAGTAAAACTCACACGATGGCTGCAGTCCCACATAAGACAGGACAGGAGCAAACCTCCCTGAGATCAGTCTGCCAGGGATTTTTCCTTTCTGCAAGCTGTTTCCTTCCATTGTTCATCCTCCCCAGGGGGAATAAAAGCATCCATACCCTTCCTCACCTGACACAACAAGCACACACTCTGGTTTTCAGTGAGGAATTACTGCAAACAGTTCTCAGAACTGCCACAAAAACTCTTCACTGCATAGAGCTGACCTGCTCCTCGTCCCTGCTGGGCTTCAGAGACAAAGAATTCTTCATGGGCACTTCTACTCACTCTTTAAAGAGTGTCCAACTGCCAGAAGGACAGTCAGACCCTGGAGTGAGCAGGGCTGTTGGACAGGATGACCTCCAGCAGCACGGAGCATAATTAATATGTTTTTTCCTTCAGGGTACACAGACCAGAATGTCCCTCTTACAGCACCCGAGTGTGGCTGGTTTAGATGTCTCTACAGGAGACAGAGGCTACCTAAGTGCCAGCAGCAGGTATTAAAAACCAAAAGTGAGCACAGAAAAGTTTATTTTTAATGGCTGACAGAGACCCATATGAAGAACCAGTCACACTGTTTTATTAAACAGAGCACTGAAAAAATTTCCAACTGGGAACTCATCTGAACACTAATTTAACATGTATATGGTTAAAGCAATCCAGTCCTCCCACAATAAGCTGGTTTCTGTGCCATCTCCATAAATTCCTAGATTATGGATTTTAGCAATCATCACCATTACACTAATTACATATCACTAAATACTAGACTTCCCCATCACAGCATTCTTCACTTCAGCCAAGCAGACAGTCCAACGCCACCTAATCCCAGGTTATTTGCCTTTCTGGCACTGTCAGTCACCCCAGGGAGCTGGAAGGGGCTGTGAGGCCAGTGCCCCACACGCAGATGAAGCAGCCACGTCCCTCCCTGCAGCCCCTTCAAGATACTTATCAGCCCTCCCTGCTTTTCCTGAGCCAAATCTGCTCTCTGTGATACCAGAAACTGGAGAGCACCATGTGCCTCCCCAGACTGCTTTGCTGACACGTGTGGCAAGTCAGATAGAGGAGATCCTTGATCAGTGGTCCCCTCTTTCAATGCAACAACAACAAAATCGATGATGTATTTTGGAGAGTGAGCATTTTAACAGAGCTATGGGGAATAGGACATAACTGCTACAAAAAATAACAATCAATAGTTTAGAAGTGGAAAGATTGGTGCCAACAAGCTGAGCAAAGATCAGGAGGAATGGATTAAGAAAATAAAAGTCTATAGCAAACGAAAAATGGCACAGAAAGTTGGTACTGGGTGTTAGAGGGAGTTAAAAAAACAAAACAAAACAAAGGAGGCACGAATACAGGCAGTATGAGGAATGAACACAACAAACCTACAATAAGCCAGGCTTTAAACTGAAGTGAGGAGCCAGGAAAGACATCAAACAGGGCAGAGACACAGGGTGGGGTGGAGTGTCTCAGTCCTCTGTCTCATCCCAGCTGGAAGGACTAGATACTAGTTAAGTTTTGCGTCAAGTGAGCTCACATTCCACCCAAAGCAACCCTGACAACACAGCACAGACTTTTTCACGGCCCTTTGATGCCAGAAGTTCTTTCTGCATCCATTTATTAAAGTCTGCTGCTACTTAAACTGAAATACTTAACAGAACCAAGCTAGAGGAATAATTGAAAGAAACAGCATAGCTTGCTTTATACAAAGTTTATGAGTTTTAATGCTTTTGCCCATAGTTTATTTTTAATTCTTAGGCAGGAGTAGGGTAGAAGCCATCCCTACATTTTGCTAAGGGAAGCAGAGATCTATCTCACTGCTGCTTTAAAGGAGCCACAGGTCTCATGAAAGCATGACTTAGCCAGGGTTGACACAGGAAGTCATGTGCTTGTGAAGGGGGTTCAGACAAAGATGAAATCAGAAGAAACAGAGCAAAAAGAAACTGGCATCTCTTTGACTTCTCTCCCTTCTAAATGATCAAGGTCCATGGACTAGTTTCAGACCAAGGCAAACAACCCAAAACACACCACTTATCTGTTTCCCCAGTTTGCTGCTTCACACACTGTCACAAACTACAGAATGCTGTTACTACTGATGGGGTAAAATCAACTTACTGCACTGTTCTGGGGCGAAAGGAAGGTGCTGGGCTGCAGATCAGGTCACACTTGCAAAGCACGAGTTCTATTCATTTCCATACGAATTTCACAAGAAATCTCCAGGAAACACGCAGAGCAGTGGACAGGCTGATCACTTCCTCCTCTCCCCGGACAGGGGCAGAAGAGTCAGTGCCTGTAGAAGGAACCCTCCAGCACCCTCCAACAGCAGGATCAGCCTGCCTGTGCTAAGGCACCCCCCAGCACCCCAGCAGGATAAGCCTGGCTCGGTAAAGCCACCACTGTGTCAGTGCTCACCTGTAATAGCGTGACTGCAAGTACGTGGAGCACACGGCCTTGGACACGTGGCTGGCTGACCCAAAGTCTATCACCTTCACTCTGTAGGGCTGGCGTGCAGGATCCACCAACATGATGTTCTCTGGCTTCAAGTCAGCATGGATCAGACCCAGGCTCTTTAGCTTCATCAAGGCAGTGGCCACTTGCTGCAGAATGGGCCGGATGTACTTCAGGGGCAACGGGCTGAACTTGTTTTGCTTTAGGAAATCATATAAGTTCTGTTCCAGCATCTCAAATACAAGGCAAGTATGATTCTTGTGTTGAAAGCACTCGTAGGAGCGGACAAAGTTGTACTCGTCAGCATTCTCACTGCTCAGGCGGGACAGGATGCTCACCTCGATCTGGCCCTGCCGGGCGTACGACGGGTGGTTCTTCAGGATTTTGATGGCTACGATCTCCTTCGTGCTACGTTTCCAGCATTTCGCCACCTGCCCGAACGTCCCCCGCCCCAGGAACTCCAGGACCTCATAGCTGTTTGTCATAGAGCACAGGATCTCATGCTGGACCAGCTGATAATCCCCCTCCCCACTGGAGCTGCTGCTTTTCGTGGTGACCGTGGTGGTCGTGGCCGCAGCACCCACCGCAGGTCTGTTTTGCAGCATGAGAGGTGGATGTTCCTCAATGATCTGCACACTACCGTTGCTGTCGACCTCCTCACTTTTCCTTTTTAATCCACATTTTTGGTATGGTTCCAGCAAAGAAACGTTGCTCCTGTGTGAGAGGGTCTGGCTGCTCTGGAAGGAGGCGGTGGCACTGCTGCCGGTGCTGTCGGCCGCGGTGACCACGATGTGCTCGACGGAGGGAGCAGGGAGAAGGAGGTTCTGGTCGTAGGCAGGGATGCTGAAATTGGCTACCTGATGAGAGGAGCTGGCTTGCCCTTGAGCTGCTGGGAGGTTTTTGCTGTGGGTATAATACTTGTCACTACTGCTCTGTCCTGAAACATCCCAGACAGACGGCTCCACTTTCAGTTTCTTGGCACTGCAGAAGGCACTCGAGGATACTGACGGAGGGGAGAACACCTGCAGCTGTGAGGCCATACCTGGAAAGGGAGAGGAGAACTCATTAGGGGCAGCAGGTTGTGATGGACAAGTTCCTCCATCTGCAGGAGAAGAGGAAGGACTTCTGAGCACGGTATGGTGCCCACCACCGAGGGAGGCAACCTCTGGAACTGCTGCTCTTAACGGCATCACAGAGCGAGGCACTCTGTTGGAATTACTGCATTTTAAAAGCAGAGAGCTCTTTACCCAGCTCTCTAAAGGCTAAAGGAATCCCAGGACACGACAGGAATCACACGATCAATTAGTTTGGAAACGACCTCTGAGATCATCGAGTCCAAGCTGTGGCCGATCCCCACCTCGTCACCCAGCCCAGAGCACTGAGTGCCACGTCCAGTCTTTCCTAAAACACCTCTGGGGACGGTGACTCCGACACTCCCCTGGGCAGCCCGTTCCAATGTCTAATCACCCTTTCTGCCAAGAATTGCTTCCTAATCTCCAAACTAAACTTTCTCTGGAGCAGCTTAAGACTGTGTCCCTTCGTCCTATCGTTTGTTACACGGGAGCACCGCCCGGCCCCCACCTGGCTACACCCTCCTTCCAGGGAGTTGCAGAGAGCGATAAGATCCCCCCTGACCCTCCCTTTCCCCCGGCTAAAAACCCCCCAGCACCGAGAAAAACAATACCGAGGGGCGGGCGAGCGCAGGAAGTGGGAAGACCCTGCTGGAATCAAGATCCCGTCCCCGGGCCTGTTTCCCGGGCACCGCAAAAACAACAGTCGGGGAGGAAACCCACCCGCTCCCGGCCAACCCCCCCCCCGGGCCGGGCCGTTACCGGGCCCGCTCCCGGCCCCGCCGCCGCCGCGGGCCCTCCCCGGCCCCGCGCGGGGGAAGGGCGGGCCCGGGCCTGCCCGCCGCGCCGGGCCCCGCCGCCCGCACTCACCGCCGGTGGGGGGTTCTCAGCCGCGGGCCGGACCTGCCAGGGGGACACGCGGGGGTGCGGAGCCCCGCAGCGGGCTCATCATAGCCCCGCCACGGCCGCCGGCCCGGCCCGCTCGGCCCGCGCTCGCCGGGGGGAGCCCCCAGGCCGCTCCGCCGCCGCCGCCAGGCTCCGCCGCGCCCTCACGGCCCGGCCGGGCTCCCCCCGCCCGCTCCCGGCCCCGCCGCCCCCCGGCCCCGCCGCGCTCCCGCCGCCGCTCCGGCCCCGCGCCCCGCACAGGCCCAGCCAGCCGAGCCCCGAGCGGGCGAGCGCGCACGTGACCGCGGGGCGGGGCCGCGCGCAGGAAGGGGCGGGGTCGGCGCGGGGCGGGGCCCGGGAAGGGGGGAGCGCGAGGGGCCGGGCTGGGCAGGGGCGGCTCCGCCGGGCCGGGTGCGGGTGTCAGGGGCCGGGCCGGGTGCGGGGTGTCAGGGGCCGGGCCGGGTGCGGTTGTCAGAGGCCGGACCGGGTGCGGGGTGTCAGGGGCCGGGCCGGGGTGTCAGAGGCCGGGCCGGGTGCGGGGTGTCAGGGGCCGGACCGGGTGCGGGGTGTCAGGGGCCGGACCGGGCTCCGCTCGGGGGTGCCCAGCAGTGGGACAAGAGGCAACGGGCACAAACTGATGCCCAGGAAGTTCCGCCTGAACAGAATCACCGAGGTTGGAAAAGACCTCTCAGATCATCGAGTCCGACCTTTGCCCCGACACCACCTCACCTCCCGGACCATGGCACTGATGCCACATCCAGTCTCTTCCTAAACAGCCCCAGGGACGGTGACTCCACCACCTCCCTGGGCAGCCTAATTCCAGTGTCTGAGCACTCTCTCTGTGGAAAATTTCTTCCTAATGTCCAATCTAAACCTCCTCGGTGCAGCTTAACACCGTGCCCTCTTGTCCTACTGCCGGTTGCCTGGGAGGAGAGCCCGACCCCCACCTGGCTCCAACCTCCTTTCAGGGAGTTGTAGAGAGCAATGAGGTCTCCCCTGAGCCTCCTCCAGGCTTCCAAGGAAGAACAACTTCCCTGTGCAGTGACCCGGCACTGGAACAGATTGCCCAGACAGGGTGTGGAGTCTCCCTCACTGGAGATATCCCAGAACCGTCTGGACACTGTGCCATGTGCTCTGGGATGGTCCTGCTGGAGCAGATGGTCCCTTCTGACCTGCCCCACCCTGTGATTGTGCCCGGGCCCCACAAAGCCCAGTGAGCTCAGAGCAGCTCAGCAGGGCTCGGTGCCTCCCCTGCCCCAGCACGGGAGAAGTGGCTACACAGTCTCTCCTGACCTGGAGCCTCTCCAGCATCCCCACGTGGGGCTGTGGTGGTTTCTCACCCCTTTGATGCCCCTTAAATGAGAAGAAACCACGAGTGTGGGAAAGGCCAGTTCGGCTTCTTGGAGGTCAAATGCTTCCAGAGGGATTCAGTCCAGTCAGGTCACTGTTGCCCACTCAGGAACTCCATCTCCAGGATGTTTTAATTCAACTTTCTCCAAAGTCAGCGTTAAAGAGACATTTATTGGCTTTCTTGCAAAAGCTTACAACACTTTTAAAATAACGATAACAAATACTCTTACCAAAATTCAGACTGAAAGAGAGTAGGTTTAGACGGGATATTGGGAAGGAATTCTTCCCTGGGAGGGTGGGGAGGCCCTGGCACAGGTTGCCCAGAGAAGCTGTGGCTGCCCCATCCCTGGAAGTGTCCAAGGCCAGGTTGGACAGGGCTTGGAGCAACCTGGGCTAGTGGAAGGTGTCCCTGCCCATGGCAGGGGGTGGAATGGGGTGAACTTTAAAGGTGCCTTCCAACCCAAACCACTCTGGGATTCTATCAAAATTTCAGAAATTCTCACAGCTTCCTGTTTACATGAGCAGCAGCATAACAACTTGAAGCAGCATATCATATAATTATCAAGCTGATTCTACCTTTTCAACATGTTCTACTACCTTTCAGAGGACTCAATTAAAAAAAACACAAAGATTTTAGGCTTGAGCTCCAGTAGAGCTCAACACACCATAGAGGAAATTATGTAAACTCATTAATTTTCTGGTGAAGGAAAGATTTCATCATTGCACTTTTATTTTTTTTTTAATCTAGAAAACAAGCCCCTGTGCTGCAGGAAGAGACAGCAGCTCTGCAGCAGGGGAGAGAGAAGTTGTTGGAAGTGCTTTAGCCTTGTATTAGGGGAAGCAGAGTTAGAAACCAGACAGAGAAGTGCTCTGAGATGTTCCCTGCAAAGTGACATTACACTTGTTTGCCACAGAGTGCACGAGCCAGGCAAGTTTTACCTCAGTCTCTTGACAGCATCCTAAAGAGCAAATTTCTCCTCTCTAGCCCTTCATGCTTTCCAGTCAGAGCCAACTGAACTGCTCCATGGTGCAGTGATTGTCCCTCCTCAGGCAGCTCTGGAGGGAGCTCAGCAGACAGCCCTGCTCCGGAACCATGAGCCTGCCCTCAAAACATGCCAGCATTTGATCACAGCTCGGTAAAACAGCACTGAAAACTTGCCAGAGGGAACTCAGCTCGTTCCTTACTCCTCTGCAAGGCCTTGGCTGAGCTGTTTCACCCCACTGGGGCTTGGTTCCCAACTGTAGGACAGAGATAAGCAGCTCAAGCATGCTCTGTGTGTGTAGATTTGGGAGGACTTTGCTCTGAGCGCTTTCTTTTCCTGTCAGGATAACTGCAAGTTTCCCAGCATGTGGCCCTCAGACACCCCACAGTGAAGCAAATACTTGGCTACAGCTTCTCACTGTCGCTGTTGTGAGCAAACACACCTGTGGCAGCAGTGCTGCAGCTGAGCTGGGAGCAGCAGGTTCAGGCCCTGGGGGACACGATGCTCCAGATCCCCCAACACTGCCCTGTGAGCCAGGCTGGGGGCAGGAAAAGAGGGAAAATTTGGAGGCAAGAGTGAGGGAGGACAAGGCCTGTAAGAGGCCAGACATTTACTGTCAGGAGACTGCATGGAATCCTTTAGGTTGGAAAATGCAGTCCAACCCAGCACTGGCAGGTCCACAGCTAAACCCATCTACACATCTGACTTCAGGGGAAGCTGAAGGATGCTCAGAAACCTTGCACTCAGCAACTCCAGTTTTCCCCACAAGGCCACGTTTTCAGGATTTTAGAATAACACACAGTAGTATTTTAATGCCTAAGAGAGAAAGAAAAGCATGGCACTCAAATGCCTCGTGCACCTGCTGTGCTGAGGCAAGGATCTCCAACACTTGACTGTTGGTCAAGTCTCTCCTGCTTCTGTCCTTTTAAAGCCACAGAGAGATTTTAGGTTTCCTTGGCTCTGCATGATTTGGATAATTTCCTTCTCAAGTGGCAGAAACTACCTTTTTAGCTCTAGCAAGACACCAGCATTTCTTCTGCAGCTTTAACTAAGTGTGCAGAAATGGGGTGCAGATCCCCAGCTTCTGAAGGCTCTGCAGTTTTCATTAATTTTTGAGGGATTAAAGATCAGAGTTACCTCTGTGAAGAATTACCATTTACAACTCCTTTTTGCCCGGGGGCTGACCAGGAGGTCCTCCACTTCGTTTACTTGAATAAATAGTTGATAAGAATAAAAGAGGAAAGGCTGGATGCCACAAAGCATCAGCAGTGAAATGCATCAGATCTCCCAGGTCATTTGCAACATGCCCTCATGGAGCAGTGACTCAGAAGGTGAGCATTCCTCCTGAGCACTGGAGAGGCTGCAAGGAGCAGGACCTGAAATCTGGGAGCGAAGGCAGCAGCTTCACTCCCCTGCCTGTCAAATGAGTCACTTAAATTTCAACAACATTTAAATAACAGCCTGCATCTCCCAGGCAGCAGCAGCAGACAGCACACTACAAGCACAGCACTGTCATCTCCACGTTACAAAAGGTGCAGGTGTCTCCACTCACACTCGCCTGACAGAGCTCTGCAGCTGAGTTTGGATTAGCAAATAATCCATACAGAAACCTCCAAGAAAAGCAGGACACGCAGGCCACAGCAGGAAGCTCGAGCTGCCCTTGCTGCCCCTGTGAAGGAGTAGGACACTGCTGTGTCACTTCCCTTGGGAAGGGAAGGCAGAGCCACAGCAGGCCCAGGGACAGGCACTCCTTATGTAACAGGGATAAAGGCTGCCGTGCCTGGGAAGGCGCAGGGTTGGGAGCCAGGATTCATGTTTGCCAAACAACTTTCCAAACATATCCACTCTGGCTGTCGACACCCTCACTGCTCCTGACAGCCCTGTTTGTGACAGGTGTGACGGGGGCATCTACAGCCACCTTTGCTTTTCACAAGCCCTGGCTTGGCTCCAAGGGCAAAGGCTTCCTTTTCTGGCTCAGTTCAGGGAATTCAATCCATCTGGCTCCCTGGTCTTGGACAGACCTCCCAGGACACCACGTTCAGAAGGCTCTGATCCTCCTCATGATCACGTGAAACATTTTGCCTTGAAAGTAACAAAAGGAGGCTGGAGAGAGCTGAGGAACCAGCTGGTGTGTTGCTCCAGGAAAGTGCCCAGTGACCATTTCCACGCCAGTGTTGCTGCCCTGACCATACAAGGAGCCAATTTGCAATGTTGGCAGCGCAGTTTGTCACAGACAACTCCAGTGTTCCAGGCTCTGCAGTGGGTACCTAATGACTTATACACCAGTGACACTTCCCAAGTGCCAGGCCTGGCTCTGCAGTTTATCTGGAGTGGGAAAGTGCCTGACCTCTAAAAGCCAGTTTTGCTGTTTAGTCTTCTTTCCAAACAATGCTGCTAAGACTGATCACTTCACACCACTAAGCAGATGTTTCACTATCTTCCATTCTATTTGCCACTGTGTGACAAGAGCAGGCAGTGGATGGGAAGGCAGAATGCTGGCAGTTATCAGAAGTGCTTTGCAGTCAAGCAGAATTCAGATGTGCAGAGTCCAGAAACTGCAGAGGATATAGTGACCCACTCTACAGCTCAGGAGCCCAGACAATTCCTGTTTTTCTCAGCCAGAAACCTCAAAAAGCACTGACAATAAACATTGGGATGGTGCTTTCAGGAGAGCAGAACTACAGCCAGCTGCAGTTGGCTGGCTGGATGCAAAAGCTGGAAGTATTAGTAGATTAACAGATAGAAAACAGCTTATTAAAACTTAGAGGCACGTCATTTTCTAGATTTAAGCAGCATTTTAAAAAGTGTATCTTAATACAAAACATTCGAAATGCACCTTGGAATGAACCATTCACAGTCAGTGAAGCATCACAGACATGCAGAAAGAAGAGTCCTTGGGGCTCTCAGATTCCCCCTCCTTGCTTCTTTCATCACATTCCAAACATTAATAACATCAGCTGAAGGCAGCTCACACCCACTGCAGTGCTGCTTGAATCTTTTGTCACAGGGGACAGGTGAGTCACTGCAAAAGGTGGACACGAGGCACACAGGCAGTGGGACTGCACTGCCCCCTGTACTGGAGACTCAGCAGATGCAGAAAGACTAAAAAAATAAATAAATTTTAAAAACGTAATGTTTAAAAACTTGTCCTAGTTTCCTCTTGTCCTCTATTAAGAGTTAAAGAAAGTAGAGCCCCACAGCTGAGCTCCTCTCTCCTGATAGGAAACCTGAGTACGGAGAGCAGGATGAATCACTGCTACTGGCACCAGCAAGTGCCACACAATTTTTCAGGGCACTTCTCCCCTCCTAAAAAAGTCTTGTACCAGCTTGTCAAACGTCCATGAGGAATTCCGCTTTAAGACATTTAAGGGAGTGAGTAAATACTGCTCTGCAAATCCAGCTGTAAAGTGCTCCTTGGAAACAGGTGCCTGGCTAACAGCAGTGGCTGCTCCTGCTGCTCCCAGCTCTTCCCCACTCAGCTTTTCCTTCCCTTTTTCCTCATCCCTGTGACAAGTGCAACCTTCTTTTGAGCAGAAAGCTGGCTCACAGTGGCGCTGCTGAGGAATCTCAGCACCTGTAAATGCTTCAGGTTTCTCAGTGTATTTCTCTGGGGACTCAAAAACAACCCCCTGGGGTGCAGAATGCCGTGCAGCTCTTTTCCAGAGACACGTGGGGTCCTGCCCCCTCCTTTGGCTTTGCTGCTGCACAGACTCTGGCAAAGGCTTTGGGACTTGGAAGTCAGGAAGTACCTGGGGGGCAGAGCTCAGGTATTCCTGAAAGTAAACCTGGCACATGCTGCCCTTCACAATGGGAATGATCGAGCAAGGTTTCAGCCACTTCACAAACTCGCACAGCTCCGAAAAGGACGAGTGATCCGAGTACGGGATGGGGTGGATCTTGGGGTGGGTGACTTTCACAGGCCTGCCCGTGGGGAGGATGGCAATGGTGGGGTGCAGCGTGTTCCAGGTGACCAGGGTATCCCAGCGGATCTCGGCGACATCCACGGCGCGGATCCACCCGGCCCCCTCCTCGGCGGTGAACACATCCGGCAGCTCCAGCAGCCGCATCTGCTCCAGGCGCCAGGGACTCACCACCACCCAGGTGCTGAACTCCACGGCCAGGTCCACCAGCAGCGCCTCCTTGCCCAGGGTGTACACACCTGCCAGGGGAGCCGGGTGTGGGACAGGGTGGAGAGGAACAGGAGCCCTGCCCGGGGGTGCTGCCAGCTTGTGACCACCAAACCACCTCCGGAGGCGGTAAGCAGGTGGCTCCAGTTAGTGTGAGTTACTTAAATCTTTAAAGCTGGCGGGATGAGGGGCTGGCACTCACCGATGACGACGTGGTGGTGCGGGTGGGCGCGGATGAGGCGGGCGGCCTGGCGCGTGGCCAGCTGGCGCGAGGGCAGCGCCCGCCGCGGGTGGCAGTGCGTGTTGTCCAGGTACAGCCGGTCGATGCGGCGGCCCCTCAGCAGCGGCTCCCCCTGCATGGAGCTCGTGTAGCGGAAATCTCCTGCAAGGGACAAGGTTGTCAGCATTTGCCCAGAGAGGGTGTGGAGTCTCCCTCAGTAGAGACATCTCAGAGCTGTCTGGTCACAGTTCTGCGCCACGTGCTGTGGGACGACCAGATGACCCACTGTGGTCCCTTCCATCCTGGGATTCTGTGACGGTGGGACCCCGCCCTGTACCTGTGTAGAGGATGGTGCCGAAGGTGCCCTCGAAGAGGAACATGACAGAGCCGGGGCAGTGGTTGGAGTCGAGCAGCGTCACTGTCACCTCGTCCAGCACGTGGCTCTGCCCCACCTCCAGCGGCCGGATCCAGCAGGTTGGCACCTACAGGGACGAGGTGGAGGGCAGGGTAGGGGATGAGGGTTGGGTTGGGCAGGGCAGGGCAGGGCAGGACAGGACAGGTGGAGAAATAGGGGTACCTGGGTGATGAGGGCTGGGTGGGACAGGTGGGCGATGGAGGTGCCCAGGTGAGTAGGGTGGGGCCAGACAGGTGGAGAGGTGGGGATGCCCAGGTGTTGAAGGCAGGGCCGGGCAGGTGGAGCGATGGGGGTGCCCAGGTGATGAGGGTCAGGCCAGGCCATACCTACCCGTAGGCGGCTGTGCAGGAGGCGGGCGGTGATCGGGGAGCAGTACAGCGGGCGGCTCCAGGTGCTGGACAGCCCCACCGTGTGGTCCGCGTGCATGTGGGACAGGAAGAAGAGGCGGGCGCCGGCCGCCCTGCGCAGGCTCCAGAAGTCCACGGCGATGGGGGTCCCGGCCAGCACCGTCCCGCTCATGGCGGGCGGGACCCCGCGCCCCCTCACAGCGAATTTGGCGGGAAGCGCCGCGCATGCGCGCGAGGCGCGGGGGGGCCGGGCCGAGCGTCAGGGGCGGGGTCACGTGGGCAGGGGTCACGTGGGCGGGGCCGGGGTCCAGAACCGGGACCGGGATTGGGATTGGGATTGGTATCGGGACCTGGGACTGAGACTGGGATTGAGACCAGGACCGGGACCTGGGACCCGGACTAGGACTAGGACTAGGACTGGGATTGGGATTGGGATTGGGATTGGGATTGGGACCGGGACCGGGACCGGGACCTGGGACTGAGACTAGGACTGGCATCGGGACCGGCACCTGGACCAGGATCCGGACCTGGCACTGGGATCGGGACCGGGATGGGTTCCGGGACCTGGGCGTGAGACTAGGACTGGGACCGGGACCTGGGCCTGGGACTAGGACTGGAATTGGGACCGGGACTAGGACCTGGGCCTGGGACTAGGACTGGAATTGGGACCGGGACTAGGACCTGAGACTGAGACTGCGATCGGGACCGGGACTTGGGAGTGGGTCTGCGACCAGGACTAGGATCGGGACCTGTAACTGGGACTGGGACTAGGACTGGGACTGGGATCGGACCCGGGACCTAGGCCCGGGACCATACCGGGGCTGGCCGTAGCCCGGGGCCGGGCCGTGCCGGGGCCATGCCGTACCTGGGCGGCGAGGAGGCGCTGCGGGAGCTCCGCCGGGCCCTGTCCAACCCGCACGTGCAGGCGGACCCGGTGCGGTACCGCGCCGCCGTCCTGCGGGTCATCCGGTACGGCGGGGGCTGGGGGCACCCGCACCCGGGGCACCCGCACCCGGGGCACCCGCACCCGGCCCGGCCCGACCCGCGTGTCCCCGCAGGCTGATGGCGCAGGGCGCCGACGTGTCGGGGGTGTTCCCGGAGATGGTGAAGGCGGGCGCGGTGCCGGACGTGGTGCAGAAGAAGCTCGTGTCGCTGTACGTGCGGGCACAGGCCCCGCGGCAGCCGCAGCTGGCGCTGCTCGCCGTCAACTCCCTGCGCAAGGACTGCGCCCACCCGAGCCCGGCCGTGCGGGGGCTCGCCCTGCGAACCATGTGCGGCCTCAGGTGCGGCGGGGCGAGCGGGGTGGTGGTCCTGGGCTGGGATGGTCATGGGACTGAGGGTGGTGGTCCTGGGGCTGGGATGGTCATGGGACTGAGGGTGGTGGTCCTGGGGCTGGAGTGGTGGTCCTGGGGCTGGGATGGTCATGGGACTGAGAGTGTTTGTCCTGGGCTGGGGTGGTGGTCCTGGGGCTGGGATGGTCATGGGACTGAGGGTGGTGGTCCTGGACGAGGGGTGGTGGTCATGGACTGAGGGTAGTGGTCCTGGGGCTGGGGATTGTGGCTGTGGGGCTAGGGGTGGTGGTCCTGGGGCTGGGGTGGTCATGGGACTGAGGGTGGTGTTTCTGGACTGGGGTGGTGGTTCTAGGGCTCAGGGTGGTGGTCATGGTCTGGGGATGGTGGTCCTGGGGCTGGGGATGGTGGTTGTGGGCTGGGGTGCTGGTCCCGGACTGGGATGGTGGTGCTGGGCTGGTGATCCTGGGCTGGAGGTGGTGGTCGTGGGCTGGAGATGATGGTCCTGGGCTCGAGGTGGTGGCTGTGAGGCTGGGGGTAGTGGTCATGGTCTGGGGTGGTTGTCATGGGCTGGAGGTGGTCCTGGGACTGGGGCAGGTGGTCCTGGGACTGGGGCTGGTGGTCCTGGGCTGGGGGATGGTGGTCATGGGACTGGGGGTGGTGGTCCTGGGACTTGAGGTGTGGGGTTGGGAGGGAGGTGTCCTGGGGCTTGAGGTGTGGGGCTGGGAGTGATGGTCATAGGCTGGGGTGGTGGTCCTAGGTTGGGGGTGGTGCTCTTGGGCTCGAGGTGGTGGTCATGGGCTCAAGGTGGTGGTCCTGGAGCTGGGGGTAGTCCTGGGGCTGGGGTGGTGGTCTTGGGCTCGAGGTGGTAGTCCTGGGTGTCGCAGGTGCTGAGAGCACATTCAGGCCTTAGGGCTGTGCTGGGCTCGCTGTGCTGCCTCTGGATTGTCGTGGCTGCAGGGCAGAGAGAGGGGGAAGTGGAGGGGAATTAAAGGCTGGGAGGGTTGGGGTTGTTCAGGCTCTGGTACCCCCTGACCTGCCCTCCCTCAGGATGCCCGGGATCCAGGAGTACCTGCAGCAGCCCCTCGTGAACGGGCTGCGGGACAAGGCGTCCTACGTGCGCAGAGCGGCCGTGCTGGGCTGTGCCAAGATGGTGAAGCTACAGGGGGACTGCGAAGTGGGTAAGGGGCTCTGAGGGGCTGTGCTCCTGGGCTGAGGGGGGTGGTTGCTCAGGGTGGTTGTCCTGGGGCTGGGGACACACTGAGAGCAATACTCTTCATGGCTGTGCTGGACTCGCTGTGCTGCCTCTGGGTTGTTGTGGCTGCAGGGCAGAGAGAGGGGGAAGTGGAGGAGAATTAAAGGCTGGGAGAGCTGGGGGTGCTCACCTGGAGAAGAGAAGGCTCCAGGAAGACCTTAGAGCCCCTTCCAGTGCCTAAAGGGGCTTCAAGAGAGCTGGAGATGGACTTTGGACAAGGGATGGAGAGACAGGACAAGAAGGAATGTCTTCCCATTGACAAGGGCAGGGTTAGATGGGATATTGGGAAGGAATTCCTCCCTGTGAGGGTGGGGAGGCCCTGGCACAGGTTGCCTAGAGAAGCTGTGGCTGCCCCATCCCTGGAAGTGTCCAAGGCCAGGTTGGATGGGGGCTTGGAGCAACCTGGGCTAGTGGAAGGTGTCCCTGCCCATGGCAGGGGGTGGAATGAGATGAGCTTTAAGTTCCCTCCCAACCCAAACCATTCCAGGTCCATGTGTATCAGACTGTTAACAATGCAGTGCCCCTTCCCTCCCTACTCTTCCAGGGCCTCCCACAGCACACAGCCATCCCTGAAATCTCTGATCAGCCAGGGGCCATTCTCACCCCCACAAATATTCAGGGAAAAGCTGTGCCAAGGGCAGTTGTTACTGTAGAGCTGGAAGTTTTGGTGGCTCCTTCTCCCAGTTCAAGCCATATCTTCTTTTTGTGGCAAATACTCATAGGCAGTGATTAAACTGCAGTGTGCCAGCAGAATTTGATAGCAGGACCTCTGCTCCTTTGCAGATGGTGCACTGGTGAATGAGCTCTACAGTTTGCTTCGTGACCAGGATCCTATTGTGGTCGTGAACTGTCTGAGGGCCTTGGAAGAGATCTTGAAGAAGGAGGGAGGAGTTGTCATCAACAAACCAATTGCCCATCATCTCCTCAACAGGTTTGTTGTCTTTGATACTAAGGAGGTGCTGGAACCTTCATTCTTGTTCTTGTGTTTTCTATGCAGAGGACTTGAAGGGACTCTAGTCAGGCACCCAAAGATGGAGGTGCCCATCCTAAGATAAACTGAATGACTTTTAGGCTAAAGTCTTAAGAGTTATCTGGAATGCCCTGCTTTTCCAGGGAGTCTTTGCTTCAGCTGCTGGTTTATTTTGGAATTATAGGTTAATGTGATTAATTTTTTAGTGATAGTACACACGATATATTCGTAAATAGGTATGTTTTTAGTATGTCTCTCTAGATGCATTGAAAAATATATAACTTATCCTTTGCTTGAAGAAATGAACTTATCTGCAGATAATTCTGCATGAGCTGGGAAAAGAGGGGTGTTGCTCTGCCCAGGGTTCTTGTCAGTGTTGCTGTCTGGCCTAAACACCAGTAAGAATGCACATGACTGATCCTGAGTTAATGACTGGGCAATTCTCTTGAGATAAAAGTGTGCTACCCCCTCGGTTTGGAACAGAGACCATAAGAAACTCAGAGACTGAGGCCTCTGCTCTGCACAGCCCAGATCCTCATGCACTCCCTGACTCCTGCACACTGTGTTTGTTGTCCTGGCAGGATGCCTGACCTGGATCAGTGGGGGCAGAGCGAGGTGCTCACCTTCCTGCTGCGCTACAAACCCCGCAGCGAGGAGGAACTCTTCGACATCCTCAACCTGCTGGATGGTTACCTCAAAAGCAGCAGCCCCAGCGTGGTGATGGCAGCCACCAAGCTGTTCCTGGTGCTGGCCAGGGAGTACCCAGATGTGCAGGCAGATGTTCTGGTGCGGGTGAAGGGCCCGCTGCTGTCTGCCTGCACCTCGGAGAGCAGGGAGCTCTGCTTCACCGCGCTGTGCCACGTGCGCCAGATCCTGGGGAGCCTGCCCGGCCACTTCAGCAGCCACTACAAAAAGTTCTTCTGTTCGTACTCAGAGCCCCACTACATCAAATGCCAGAAGATGGAGGTGTTGTGTGAGCTGGTGAACGATGAGAACGTGCAGCAGGTGCTGGAGGAGCTGAAGGGTTACTGCACTGACGTGTCGGTGGAGCTCGCCCAAGGGGCGATCTTTGCCATAGGTGAGAGCTGTGCCTTGCCTGGACCTTCCAGGTGGGCTGTTCTCTGCTGAACTGTGTCTGGGCAAACACCAGATCACTGATCTGTGCTGCAGCAGTACAGAGACCAACCTCCCCAGCAGTGTTTTGTGTCACTGTGTTTCTAAACCGTGACTGGGCTGGTTCTTTTGGAAGCCTTGGCATTCATAAAGTCCTTGAATCCCATTCTCTGATGAGATGCTTTAAAGAAATTGCATCATTTCATCTTGTTAATCAGCCTTATAGCATTCAGTGAAGCTTTGTAGTGGGTGGAGGAGCTCCAATATCTGTTTATTCTGTGAGTTGTGATGGGGGCAGAGTTAAGGGGATTTGGGGTGCTTTGGTTTTGTTTTTGTAAGCTTTAAAATAGGTGAGTTTTTACAGTATTCATAAGGGTGAAGCTGGGGATGCTAAAGTGCTTTTCTTAGTGTATTACATTTAAGGAAAGCTCAGAAATCTTCTGAGGCATGGCCTCAAAAAAAAGGAACATGTCCCTTGTGTGGAGAACAAGCTCATTCGACCGCACTTTCATAAGTGGTAGTCAGAAAGGAAAAGAGAGAGACTGTTTCTTTAAAATGGGTTTGTGATGAATAGTTGGGCTCATGGTTCCTATTTCATTCTGATAAAAGGTTGACTTTTATGTCTTTTTGGCATCCTTGCAGGCAATATTGCCAGGACTTACACAGAGCAGTGTGTGGGGATTCTGACAGAGCTCCTGGGCCTTCAGCAGGAGCACATCACTTCAGGTAACCATCTGCAGGCTGCTTACCTGGCTTGTGCCTTCAGGAAGTGGCCTTGCTGGGGCTTGTGATCCCAAAATCAAGGCTTTTGAAGGCATTTGGCTTTTCATTTATTAGCACCTTCATGTGGAAGTTTTCCTGGTGGGTTTAGGGGTACTGTGTTCCTTCCATAGGAACTGCTCTTTGTGGGGAAGGAGGAGATGGTTGTAGCTGTGTTCTCGGTCCTTTCTGCCTGCCACCTGCTGAATTAGGGAGTGAGTGACTCAGCAGAGACATTTTAGTGTCTATTTGAGGGCCAAGATGATTAATAGATCTTTTAAATCTCTGTGATTTCTGTTCCTCATATAATAGTCTGATTCAATTGTACCCAGGCTTCTTTTTTTCTTCTGCTGCCCTCAGATCTACCTTCACATCACTGCTGCTCCTGCTGTTCTCTTTTAACTGCTCTGCTCTCAGTTTAAAAACCACGCACTTGCCCTCAGCTGTTGAATTCGATCTCGGGAGCTGCTGGTGTTTCTGAGTGGGCAGCAGAACCTTTAAAATTTACGACCTAAAGTTCACGAGACTCGTTTTGCATTGGGGTTAGTTTTAATTTGTCATTCCAACCTCGTGTGTCTGAAGCGTCGTGAGTCAGTGCCCTTTTAAAGGCTGGCAGTGTCCAGAAGAGAGATTGCTTTCCAGCAGCCAGAGGAACAATCTGAAGCCTCAGTGCTTTATTTTAGACTCGATGCAGCTTTGCTCTGACAAACGCAGTGTCATGGGACTTGGAAGGAGGGTGTCTCAAATCATAGTCACAAGCAGGGCACTGACCTTCCTGGCTAAGATTTGCAGAATCTCTTGAACAGGGGGGGTTGGATTGATTTTTTTTTCCCCTCTGGTGGTTTTTTGTGACTCTTGGGGATGCTGATAACTTGCTTTCCTTGCAGCGGTGGTCCGGGCTTTCCGGGACCTGGCTTGGCTGTGTCCCCAGTGCACGGATGCCGTGTGCCAGGCACTGCCTGGCTGTGAGGACACCATCCAGGACAGCGAGGTGAGGTGCCAGTGCTTGAGGATGAGTGAACAGTAACTGTTTGGTAAAAATCAGAAATCTTCAGCCGTGTTCTCTCAATCTCTTTATTTCACACCAGCACCGTCTTTCTGGCACACAGCACCCCTTTGCTGTTGTTTTCTGTGGTTCCTTCAGGGCAAGCAAGCACTGATCTGGCTCCTGGGCACGCACGGGGAGAAGGTCCCGAATGCTCCCTATGTTTTGGAGGACTTTGTGGAGAGTGTGAAGTCGGAGACGTTCCCAGCAGTGAAGATGGAGCTCCTGACAGCGCTGGTGCGACTGTTCCTGTCCCGTCCCGCCGAGTGTCAGGACATGCTGGGCAGGCTGCTCTACTACTGCATAGGTGGGTTCCCTGCCTTCTGTTCCACTGAGGCTGTGGGACAGGGGTTTTAGGACCTGGTTTGGCCCTGTTCCCAGTGCAGGAATGCTGTGTCAGCATCCTGGCTCTGAGGAGACTGTCCAGGACAGGCAGGGTAAGGTGGCTTTATGCCTTAGGCTGCATAAAATCCCAGAATGGTTTGGGTTGGAGGGGACCTTAAAGCTCATCCAGTTCCACCCCCTGCCACGGGCAGGGACACCTTCCACTAGCCCAGGTTGCTCCAAGCCCCGTCCAACCTGGCCTTGGACACTTCCAGGGATCCAGGGGCAGCCACAGCTTCTCTGGGCAACCTGTGCCAGGGCCTCATCACCCTCTGAGTAAAGAATTCCTTCCCAATATCCCACCTAACCCTGCCCTCTGTTAGTTAAAAACCATTCCCCCTTGTCCTGCCACTGTGCCCATGGACAGGCTTACACTGTATCCCTGAAAATCTGTTCTTAGTAATCAAGGGTTAGTACTCTGGGGAAATGTGGGCGAAAGAATTCTCCATAATTTCTGTCTCTCTGATCCCCAGAGGAGGAGATGGACATGGCAGTGCGAGACCGAGGGTTGTTCTACTATCGCCTTCTGCAGGCTGGGGTGGAAGAAGTGAAACGGGTCCTGTGTAGCCCCAAGTCTGACCCTTCTCTGGGGCTCCTGGGCAACCAAACCAAGCAACCTGTGAATGCTTGGGCTTGGGAGTTTAACACTCTCATCCCAGTTTATGGCAGAGAACGCTGGGCACTCGCCACTGCTCACCAGCCTGTGGAGCCCTCCTGCTCTGGTCCTCCTTGTACTGACTCCAGGAGCAGAGACACAGGTAACCTGCCCCACCTTCCTCTGGCATCCATTTTGCCCTTGTCAGTAGATCACAGAGTCAGGGAGACACAGAGTGGTTTGGGTGGGAAGGGACCATAAAGCTCATCTCATTCCACCCCCTGCCATGGGCTGGGACACCTTCCACTATCCCAGGTTGCTCCAAGCCCTGTCCAGCCTGGCCTTTGTGGATCTGTGAGCTGCACCTCACATGTTTGTGGTTTCCTTTCAGAGTCACTGATTTCTGAGGGGAATAAAGAAGTCCTCAAGGTTCAGCCCAGCACAGGCAGCCTGAGCCTGATTCCTGATGCTTCCTTGACTGCAGAACAGTTTGAGAAGACCTGGCTGAGCTTGGACACGAGCTGCCACCTCTCCCTGCCCTGGTGTGGGCCTGTCCCTCCAGACACCATACAGACAGCCCTTCATGTTGTCCACATCCAGACTATAGCCATGAGCAAAGCGGGTGCCCAGCCCTGGAAAGCTTATCTGAGTGCTCAGGATGACACAGGCTGCATGTTCCTGACAGAGCTCCTGCTCCAGGCGGCAGATTCAGAGCTGCAGGTGTCTGTGAAGCAGAGTGAGGCAAAGCCAGAGGCACTGCAGAGCTTCATCTCGGCCTTGAGGACAGTCCTGGAGGCCGTGGCTGGACTGGGGTCCTGACTGGTCCCTGCTCCCAGCAGGATGCCTGCTCAGGGCGCAGGAAAAGTTGATTTCTCTGGCTTCATTTGCCATACCTGATGCTGGTGTGGTATTTTTAAACTGCAGGAGTGTTGGCAGCCCTTTCCTGGGCCTAGGAAGCACAGTGTGGTGTGGGGGGAGCTGCAGCTGGAGCTGGTGAAGGGTCTGCCCTCCCCCTGGGCTGGGAGAGGGACAGGGTGGTTCTGGAGTGAGTCACACAACTCATCAGTGATGGTCGTCATAGGACACCAATGCCAGTGATGGAACCAGAATTCAGGAATGTGTTTTGGAGAGTTTTTTTCCTGAGAAGTATAAATCATTTAAAAAACAGCTCAGAGGCACCAGGACTCTGCTACTTACCTCACATTAAGAGGAACAGTGCAATGAAGAGAGGAGTGTTTTATTCTTGACTCCCTTTACATGTGATTTAGTTTTCTGTCTGATAGAAGGATTTTGATGGGAGCTTCACTTAGGGGTGGACAGAGCTCTGCTGTGTCAGAGATGGGTAGACAGGGTACATCCTGCTCACTAGAACCAACATGTTTCACTTGCAATAGAAAGAAGCTGAAATGTGTTACTGAGGTCACGAATTGCCCTCTCTGAAGTTCCCCCTCAGCTCCCTGTGCTGTTGCCATACTGAAGAGACTCCTTGGCACAAGGGTGATGCACACAGGTGAGGCACAGGTTACTCTGACAGGGCTTTGTGGTACTGTGTAATGAGCACAGGCTTCTTTAACCCTGTTCTGTAAGATCTCTTGTCATTGTGAATTTCTTTTGTGGCTGCATTGCACCTTCAAATCACAGTATGCCTTCCATGCAGTTCACTGGGACGCTGCTCTCACTGTTAAACAGCAAGTTTTAGACTTCTGATTTTCCTAATAAAAATGTGAACTGTTCTTGGCTGGTTTCTGGAGTATTTGTTCCTTCAACTCAGATGTGCAGGATGGAGTCACCTGATCACTGCTGTGGATCCACACAGAACTGCAGTCCAGCTCCTGCCTCTGTGTCCAACAGGGCTTTTCTCTCTGAACTTCCTTGAAGCAAAGCTTTAAGGAGCAATTGGCCAATAACTCATTTCAGTCTCATTTGCCAAATTACTGTAACGGGTGAACTACCTCTGGGTGAACTCAAAGGGAGATCAAAGTCAACTGTAGCAGAGTTCCTGTTAACAGTTCCCACAATGTTGTGTCCCTGTCCTTAGGGAGAACTGCACTGGAGCATTGGAATTATGCAGTTTTCAGCAAAAAACTAGGTGATAACTTGTTGGCAATCCATCATTTACCATGCTGTGACTAGACCAACTCTGGCCTCTGGGAAGGGACTTGGAGCTTCCAGCCTTTCATCCAGACCCCTTTCTTGATGAAGGAACAGGTCCCTTCCCACCCAAACCATTCTGTGCTCTGGGATCTGTGTGCTGTATGTCCATCAGGGCTCCTGGCTCCTCCTGGAAACTACTTTCCCGATCCCTCAAGGCAAAACCTGTTTATGATTCTGAGCTAAAAGGGGGACTGTGGATTTTCCATGCTGTTTTAGAGACTCTTCCAGTCACAGCATATTCCAAGTTCAAAGCCTTTTCAGTGAAGTGCAGCCCCCCAGTGCTCACCCTGGCCCCCTGGCAGTGATGGCTGGACATGGTGCTCAAGGAATTGGGATGATGGGGTGCTCGGGGTGGTCTCCAAGGTGTGGCCACCTTTGTGGCACAGTGCACACCCGGGGCACTCGTGCCCCGCTCTCTGTGCCCACCCTGCTGCGAGACCCCACATCAAGGGTGTGTGGTTTTAAAAGAGGGCGCCAGGGCCCCGTGCTGGGTGGTTTGTTGTGTTATTTGCCCACAGTATCTGCTACGTACTAATTTCCTCTCGGGCTGCTGATGAAGTCAGTAACCACAGCCCGTGCTCTGCTCCCGGCCGGCGCCTTCCACTGCGCACGCACTTGACATGTCCCTTCCCAGCAGGGCCAGGCCAGGCACGCTCCATCCCCGGCACCATGGACCAAAGGGAGATCCTGCTACAGAACCTGGAAAGGGCCCAAGGCAAGAAGCTCAACCGAGGGGAGTTTGCAGAGGAGTTTTTGGTAAGTTCCCTCAAGGCTCCGCTCGGTGTTTCTGCTCGTTTCGAAGGGAACCCCTCAGCCACAGGGACAAGATCTGCGTGTGACACTAAGGTTGTCTAGGGGTTTTATAACAGAAAGTCACCCAGGAGCTAACTGGGCTAAAAGGAATGTAAAGACAGAAGAGGAATTTAATAGTTTGCATTCAAACTCTTTGCTTTTTAGCTAATTACCCGAGTGCTTCCTGTTTTCTGCTTTGTGAATGCACTTGTCAAGACACAGTTTCACTTTGCCTGGTAACAGAATGGGGGTACAGGGAGGAATATGGACCCTCTGCCCCTTCTCCCCATTGCCATCTGTTGTACCTGTGACATGTGTGTTCCTGCCAGGGATCTCCAAAGTTCCTTGAATTAGCTTTTCCTTTTTTACGATAGAGCACAGGTTGGCCAGAGCAGCTGTGGGTGTCCAGTCCCTGGAATTGTCCAAGGCCAGGTTGGACAGGGCTTGAAGTAACCTGGGAGAGTGGGAGGTGTCCCTGCCCATGGCAGGGGGGTAGAACAAGATGATCCTTAAGGTCCCTTCCAACCCAAACCATTTTATGACCTGGGATCTCTGTGCTGTATGACCAGCAGTGCTCCTGGCCCCTCCAGGAAACTATTTCTTGTTCCCTCAAAGCAAAATCTGCAGAAAATGCTGATGGCTCCCACCACCCCCTGCATTCTGCAATGCCCAGCTAGTTCAGATCTGTGCAGTGCCCTGAATTTGTGAGCTCTCTGACATGTTTTTATTTGTTGAGGTGGCAGGGGTGAGGCTCAGATGGCAATGCACCATCTCAGAGCTAAACCTGGTGGCTGGTGATGGCTCTTGGTGTGTCAGCTCTGACTCTGTCAGGTTGTCTGGGCTGCTCTGAGAGGCAACAACATTGCCCAGCTTTAACAGACATCGGGAAGGGTAAATCTGGTACCTCTGTGAGATCTGAGACGTGTCAAACACCAGACTAAGCCCTGGCCGTGGCAGTGGGCTCTGGGCACAGGGGTTACTAATGGGTCCCCACGAGATCCAGCCCTGCTTTGTTGTACCAGCCAAATCTGGCACTTCAAACACTCGGGAAAAGCTGAGTGCTTGGTTTCCAGGTGTCTGGGGTAGAGGGAAGTGATTAATCTGAGCCTGCAGTGACAGTCTGTTGTTCCATGGAACAAAGCGCTGTCACAGGCTGCTGAATTTCCCCTCTCGCTGACGGGCTGTGCTTTGTGTGTGAGGCAGCAAGCTCTGAGCCCTGGTGCACAAACTGCCTCCAGCAGCCAAATGTATTCATTTCTGACCAAAATGGCAGGTAGAAGTGGTCAAGGCTGCATTTCCTCTTGTATGGGATAAGATCTTCCCAGCGTAACCCGAGTTGCCTCCACTTTTGCAAGGCCGGGGCCTCTCCAGGTGATTGTGCTGGCTTGTGTTTCCAAACTAGATAGAAATGTTCAGTGCCATTTCTCCATCCTAATTCCTGCCCTCTCCTTGTCTGACCAAGCATTTGTACATGCAAATTGTGGTGGTGTTACTGTAAATTACAGGGGGGCTGTTTGAGTCCCCTTTTCCTGCCCGTGCAGTCTCACAGATGGAGTTTGATCCTTACTGCTCTACACAGTTTCCCCAGGGCAGTGGTCACAGCCCCAAGGCTGGGAGAGCTTAAGGAACGTTTGGACAGCACTCTCAGGCACAGGGTGGGATTTTGGGATGTCCTGTGCAAGGCCAGGAGTTGGACTTGTTGATCCCTGTGGGTCTCTTCCAAGTGGGGACATTCTGTGACTCCATGATTCTGTGATTCTCACTTGCTGTCCCATATTGTAGGCATTTCCCAAGTGGTTTTATGTCAGATTATTCAGGGACAGAAAAGTAGGATGATTCAGAGCCTCAGCTCTGGGAACCTTGTGTTCTTAATTAATAGAGGCTGGACACGTCCTGGGCCTCCTGTACCTTCTCCCTCCCACATTCCATCAGGTCTGTGAGATGTAACTCCTGGGGTCTTGTGGCTGAATTTAGTGTTTTAAAACTGCAGTTTAATGTTAAAAACCAGTAACTCTGACTGAGACAAAAAAAATATAAAAGAAAAAATACAGCAAGGATGGTGCTTCTGAAGTTGATGGTAACAAATAGTGTGTGTTATTTAGAAGCTGATGGCAGTGAAATAAAATTTCATCATTTGTTAGGAGACAGATGCTTCAACTCTCTGTGAGTGCTTTATCCTGGAAATGAGAGAGATGAGAGATTTGCAGCCCTAAGGGTCTGTCCCAGGACTCCTTCTCCCCTCTCTTTCATCATTCCATGTTGCTGCTCTGCTCTGGTTGCTCGTGCTCCCTTTGTGTTTGCAATCATAGATAGGGGCATCTTTACCAAAAGTGAGAGGAATCAATCAATTCATCTGTCTTTTCTGATATCATTTGTTCAAGGTAGTTTAACAGTGTCACTCCTTTTATCTGGGTGCCAACTGTACTGAGAGTAATTCCCCCGTGTCTCACTTGTGAGGGTGATGCTTTGTGTCACTTCAGGAGCCGACGTGTGGGCACTGCCTCAGCACACACTTTCCATTCTTCAGAAGCCTGTGCTGGGGCTCTCAGGTGGTTCTGTGTCTATTCTTGCTCTGAGTATCTCGAGAAAAGCCACTCAGGAAAGAATTAATGGTACTGACCTTGCTTTGTGGCAGCAAACCTGACCCCTGGAGACCTTCACACATGCTCTCCAGTACTGTGCTGGATGTAACACCTCTGCTGTAATTTGTTCCATTCTTTTATCACAGAAGCTGAAAAGGCAGACAACAAAGTACAAGCTGGATAAAATCTACCCTACAGCAGCGGCTGAGCAACCAGAGAATGTCAAGAAGAACAGATACAAGGACATCTTACCCTGTAGGTTGGAAATGGCACATGTTTCTATTCAGCCTTTTGCTTTTCCAGCTCCAGTGTGTTCTCATCCTCCAGTACTCACCTGCACAGTTGTTGTATGGGAGCATCTCACTGCTGGCTCTTGGCCTTGAATCCTGCTGTTCAGATTTAAGGCTTTGGCTGCTGCAGTCCATGCTCTGGAAGACTTTGGCACATATTGATGGTCTCAGGCACACAGTGTGATTTTGGGGTTTTCCTGTGCAGGGCCAGGAGTTGGACTTGATGATCCTTGGGGGTCTCTTCCAGCTCAGGATGTTCTATGATTCTGTGATATTTTTAGAGACAGAAGAACCGCTGTTCTCTAGGAAATACATCCCTCAATGATCATCCTTGCAAGCTTTCTGGGTGCCATTGCAAGCACTGGTTTTCCAAGGCTTTCTAGAAAATGGCTTTGGACAAAGATGTCTCCATGATGTACAGGCAAAACCTGCTGTGGTTTGTCCTGGCTTCATGTGGTGGTCTCCAAAGGATATGCTGTCCCAGGATCAGAGCAGACTGCCCCTTGCATCCATCCTATCTTGGAAAAAAATAAATCAGAGAATAATTAAGGTTGGAAAAGACCTCCAAGATCATCAAGTCCAACCTTTGAACCATCGTATCTAACCCCACAGACCTGGTTTGAGCCTGTCAGATGCAGTGCTGGGTGATTTTAGGTTTGGCTTGCTGCACAGTCAGAGGGGTCAGCGTTGCACTGGGGTAGTGGCAGCACCAGCAGCTCTCCCCTAAGCCCTCACCCCCACCCCAAAAGGAGCTTGTCCATCCCCTGTGTGTGTAGGCAGCTCAGGGCAGGGCTGTGGGGAGATGTGGGAGGGAACATCAGCTGCTTGCACAGCCACTCACCTGCTCTGGGATGAGCTCTCTGGTGTCAGTGCTCCTCCAAAGCACCTTGTGCTGCACCCCGAGGAGCTCAGCAGCCCTGACACACAGACACTGACTGCTGCTGCTTCTGCTTTTGTGCCTGCAGTTGACCACAGCAGAGTGGAGTTGTCCCTGATTACATCTGACACAGATTCCCATTACATCAATGCCAACTTCATCAAGGTATTGCCTCTTTCGTGGTGTTTTGCCCTGCAAAGGTGTTCGTGGGGTCACCTCGCTGAGTTGTGCCAGGAGGAGCAGGTTGGGGGCTCTGCTCAATGAAAGGACTCTGCAGGAGTTTCTGGGCTGTGCTCAAAGATAGCTGTGTACAACCAGGGAGCCCTCCAAAAAACACCCCGTGCAGCACAGAGCCACCAGGCCACAGGACAAGGGACGTGTGCTTGCACTGGTGGAACAGTTTGTGGTTCACAGCCCCGACTTCCTCGTCGGCGTTGCTGCCTGGGGTGGGTGACAGTGGTGCAAAAGTGCCTGTGGCCAGAGTCAGCTTGGCTGAAAGCAGAGCAGAGGCAGGAAGCCTTGCACTGCAGCACGGCTGGGACCCGCTGCAGGGACCAGCAACGGGGCAGGTCAGCGTGGGCTGGCTCTCCAGCAGGAGCTCCACGAGTTTTGGGACTCTCCAACGCCTTTGGGACCCTTCTCTGATTGAAAGATAGATGGACAGATGGATTGATATGGATAGATAGATAGATAGATAGACAGACAGACAGACAGACAGACAGATAGATGGATAGATAGGTAGATAGATAGACTTCCTTCATTTTCCATGACAGTGATCCAGGGATCTGTGCAATCCATCTGGAGAAGAACAGGCCTTACCAACCCTTCCCAACAGACCTTCACGGTTCATTCTTTGGCACCAGCTGTGGCCACGTCACCTCCAAGCTCCCAGATGCACTGCAAGAGCTGGTGGTGGTCTCTGGGAGCAGCCCCAACCCAGCTCCCTGGTCTGGCCCTCCCTTTGGGAGGTTTGCACACCATTGTTTGATTTAATGTAGGTGCCTAAAATTCAACTGTATGAAAGTCCTTCTAAATCCTTAACAGGCTCATTGAATAAGGTCAGATTCAGAGGGAGGAATGACTTTATTTCTGCTGGTGAACTATGCACAGATGTCTCCATGTCTGGTTTGAATGTTCTAGGGTGTCTATGGGCCAAGAGCATACATTGCTACCCAGGGTCCTCTCCCCACTACTGTCATTGACTTTTGGAGGATGATTTGGGAGTATGAAGTCCTGGTAAGGTGCAGATTTATATTTAAAATTTATATGTTTGGGAGGATTTTTTTTGTTTTGGTTTGTTTTGGTTTGGTTGTTTTGTTTTTTCTTTTAAGAAACGTTGTCCATACAGGCAGAAGTCCTTTGTGGGTCAGAGGGAGCAAAAGGGTTTTACTCCAGATGTTGTGTGTGCCTCAAATCCCTCCCATCAGCCTCCTGTGCCAGGAATCTGCTGGTGGCTGTCTCTGCCTTCGGGCTCTGGGTGGGAAGGTCCTGGGGCTGTAGGTGATGGTCCCTGTTTTGCAGTTGTGGCTGAGGGGAAAGCAGCCCACAGAACCTCCTCATTGCTGATAAAGACCTGCAAGGGATGAGTTTGTTTTCACTGCCTGGATAAGGAACTTGTGTTCAGACTTCTCTAATGAACCTTCTCTCTGCAGGTCGTGGTCATGGCTTGTATGGAGTTTGAAATGGGGAAGGTGAGTGGTGTGTCAGAGGCGGCCTCTGCTGTGACAGTGCCAGGGCAGGGTGAGAGGAGCAGCTTTTTATTAAATCTCATTAGTGACAGCGAGTTTCTGTTTGATATGAGCTGTTTTCTGAGTCTCCAGCTGCAAATGGTCTAGTGGGAGGTGCCCCTGCCCTTGGCAGGGGGGGTGGAATGAGATGACCTTTAAAGTGCCTTCCAACCCAAACCCTTCTGTGACTGTGAAATTCTTAAGCTGTTTCCAGTAGCATAAAGAGCCTCTCTGGAAAGGAGAGTGGTGGCTCCGGGGAAGGGGAGGCTGGAGCTGCCCAGCAACGTGAATTTTCTCCTGAAAATTGAGACAGGAGCATGGCTGGGCCAGCGGGGAATAACCAAACACATCCTGCTTCTCCCAACAGAAGAAGTGTGAGCGGTACTGGGCGGAGGTGGAGGGCTCTCCCCTGCACTGCGGCCCCTTCTCCATCACCTGTGTGAGTGCAGCCCCCACAGCACCATGTCCTGCCCCAGCACCTGCCCCAGCACCCCGTGGCACCCACTGGAAATGTGACTCTGACTTCTCGTTCTGCAGGAAGCCGAGGAGAAGAGGAATGAGTACGTGATCAGGGCTTTGAAGGTGACCTTCAACGGGGTAAGTAGGAAAGGTCAAGGCAGGAAGTGCATCTTGGATGGCTTTATTATGTAAATAACATATTCAGATACGGTACATTTTGTGCAGAAAATTTCATGCTGGTCAGGCTGCTGATTTAGATTTGACAGTAGATGAGGGAACAAAGAAAGCAAAAAATTAGTTACCTCAAACGCCAGCTTCTGAAGCTGTTTGTCAGTTGTGGCAATAAGTGAAGCCAACAGGTAACGTCAGGAATGTCATAAAATGGCTTCTTCAGCAAAACCAGCAGCAAACTGCTCCTCTGCCCTTTGCCTGCTGGTGCAGGCAGGACCTGGAGATGTCTGCAGCAATCCAGCTTCCCCTTGCCATGCCAACACCCCTGTCTGTGCCTGCAGGAGCTGTGGCAGCGTCCCCTCGGTGGCACGGGCCGGCCCAGCCCCTGCCAGCTCTCTCCTCTTGCAGGTGACCCGCACCACCCACCAGTTCCACTACAAAAACTGGCCAGACCACCACGTCCCCTCCTCCATTGACCCCATCCTGGAGCTCATCAGGGAGATTCGCTGCTACCAGCCGGATGACAGTGTCCCTGTCTGCATCCACTGCAGGTGGGTGAGGTGGCTACCACCAGGGGAGGGCTGCTGGCCCCCTGGACCCCCGTGCTCCTGCTTCCCAAGTGGCCACAGGTGATGGCAGCTGGCCAAGCCCTCAGCCAAGCTCCTCTTGTGGGAAGCCCTAAGGCAAAGGGGTCCTCTGAGGACAGCTGGCATGGCCAGGTGACAGGGAAGGAGACAGGTAGCAGCAGGCCAGCAATAGAATCATAGAATCATGGCATTGTTTAGCTTGGAAAAGACCTTTAAAATGATCAAACCCAACCATTAACCCAGCACTGCCAAGGCCACCACTAAACCACATCCCCACATCTACACATCTTTTAAATCACTTCAGGGATTTCACCACTGCCCTGGGAAGCTGTGCCAGGGCTGGGCAACCCTCTTGGTGAAGAAAGTTTTCCTAATATCCAATCTAAACCTCCCCTGGCACAACCTGAGGCTGTTTCCTCTTGTCCTGTCGCTTGTTACTTGGAGAAGAGGCTGACCCCCACCTGGCTACAACCTCCTTGTGGTTGTGGAGAGTGAGAAGGTCTAGTTAAGAGATCACCAACTCTGGGCATGTCCATGTGTGGCTGGTCACCACAGGGGGACCGAGAACTGTTTTCAGGGGACAAGCTGTGCCTCCCAGCCCGCAGCAAAGCCGGGGGCAGGTGGAGCCCTACATGGGGTGAAGCTCAGCAGGGCCGTCGTGCAGGTCTGCGCCTTCTGCTGTGTGGGACAGGAGGGTCACAGGTGGCTGTGGGTCTCCTCCAAATGTCCTTGTCAGCAAGCACAGGGTGCCCCCCGTGACGCTGTGGCTGTCGTTGCAGTGCTGGCTGTGGCAGGACGGGCGTCATCTGTGCCATCGACTACACCCAGAAGCTGCTGCAGGACGGGGTGAGTGCCAGCCCTCGGCACCTTCGGATGGCACCTGCACCCCCCTGGCTCTCCCTCACTTCTCTGTCCCTTTCCCCCCCTCTGACTGCATAGTTCAGGTGACAGCCATGAACACAAGCTCCCTGCAGCCTGAGTGGAGAGCAGCGGTGGCCAAACTGATGCTCCATTCCCAGCCTGTGCTGCTTCTCCTCTTCAGGCTCTTCCACTGCTCCTGCCCCATCCCGATGGGACAGCATCACACCAATGGGGCAGAATCCCCCCTCCATTGCTCCCTCTGGCCAGACCTTGACCTCACAGCACTTGGCTCTGCTCTGACCTTCACTCTTCAATGCAACTTTAGTGTCTATATTTGTCTCTCTGCACTTACACATCAGATACCCAGTGTTTCCAGACTAACACCTTGTTTCACTCTGACTCTCCAATTTTGATGTGGGGGTAATAATCCCTGGCCCCAGGGCAGGTTGCTGGGACTCAGAGTAGGGGCTGCTGTGTTCTGTTCCACAGTTCCCTAAACCAAACCCATCCATCTGGGTTTCGTGTCCTTCGTGCTTTCCACAGATGTTACCAGGGCTGTTGTAAAAGGGTATTTTCTGTGGAGTGTGAGACAGGAGGGAGAAGGCTTGTAATAAAAAATGGCTCTTTAAGCAGGTCCTTTGTTAAAAATACTTGCAATAGGAGGCCTGGATTTCAGACACTGCTCTAAAGTGCGTCATGGCTTGCAATCTGCTTAGAATTAGACCTGTCTGCAATTTTGTCAGAGACATCATAGAAATCATGGAAAGACTTGGGTGGGAAGGGACCTTAAAGCCCATCTCATTCCACCCCTGTCATAGGCAGGGACACCTTCCACTAGCTCAAGTTACTCCAAGCCCCATCCAACCAAGCCTCAGACACTTCCAGGGATGGGGCAGCCACAGCTTCTCTGGGCAACCTGTGCCAGGGCCTCCCCACCCTCACAGGGAAGAATTCCTTCCCAAAATTTCATCCAAATTTCTCCTCTTTTAATTTAAAACCACTTCATCTTCTGCCCTTCTCGCAAGATTGTTCCAGTGAACTTCAGCGTGTTCAGCCTGATCCAGGAGATGCGCACGCAGAGGCCCTGCCTCGTGCAGACCAAGGTATGGTTGGGAAATCTCCCCCATCCCGGGACCTCACCTTTTCCCCAGGAGGGTTCACAGCATGGAAACCCGGAGCGGTTGTGCTGGTGGGAGCTGGGGCGTGAAGATGTTCTGCAAAGTCCCTTTTCTGAATAGAATGGTGATTTTGCAGAAATTAATTTGGTAGCTGACCATTTCCTCGTGGGCAGCTGGGGCAGTGCTTGCAGAGTGACTTATTGAAGGCTTACACTGTGAAACAAGGCACTGTCCAGGAAATAAAGTGGGAACTTTTCTCTGCTGAGGCAGCCTGAAGAGGAAGCTTGGTGCAGAGCAGCATTGTTTGTGCACCCAAAAACCCCCCAAATGCTTCAGTCTGAGCCCCGTGATAGTTGTGGCTTCTGCCTCTTCTGAGAATTCACACCCTGCCAACAGACAGGAAAGTGGCAGCTTCTCTCAGGGGTGATGCTTCATTTGGGCAGAGGTGACCATTTACAGGGACCTCAGGTGCTGGCACTCATGCTTATTTGTCTGCAATTTGTTTATTTGTCTGGAATGCAGGAGCAGTATGAGCTGGTTTATGATGTGGTGATTGAACTCTTCAGAAGGAGGATTAAAGCACTCGATGCCCAGAAAGATTCTGCTGATTCCCAGGTAAAAGTCCCAGAACAAACACCCTGCCTCTAATCTCGATTCCTGCTGCAGGCCTGGGATCAATCCCCATGTTTCCTGCTCCCCTTGATGCCCAAATCGATTCTCTTTTGAAGCTGACCCATGAGAATCCAGCTCTGAACGTGCAATGCTTATCACAACCAACACCTAAATTTTTCTTTGGTCCTCAAACCATTTTATATTTTCTATATACTTACATAATTGCTTAATGCCACGAGTGAATAGAAAAGCACCAGCTTACTACAGTAGTGGCTGATTTCCATGGGGATGTGCCAGTGGAACTTGTCTTCAGGAAGTGTTTCTGAGCAACAGTGTGATTTTAGTCCAGGTTGTGAAGGTCCAGGTTGGGAAGCTTAGGAACACAAGGTGGTGTGGCTGAAAGTGTTACCTGCTGGTGTGCTAGTGAGGCAATCAGCACTACAGCCCATCTGTGGGAGAGAGGAGGGTAAAATATCTGGTGAAAAAATATGGCAAAGTCTTTCAAATCCGCTGCACCTTCAAGGAGAAATAATGTGGCCTTGGTATGCATATAAACAGGAATATCCAAAACATCCCTGGCTAAGCTTTTCTTTGCTCTTGCTGCTCTGTGGCTGCTGGAATGAGCCTCACTGTTCCTGTGTAGCTGTTTGAATGCAGATGAAGTAAATGCATTGACATTCTCTGAGCTCATTTGCTCAGAGCCTTTTTTCTAAAGAATTGGGAAGAGGATCCTATGACGGGATTTCTGCCTCAGTCTTGACACAGGATTTGCAGGATGTCCCAAGCCAGAGCTGAGTGAGAAAAGAGCTGGAAACCCCCTTTCTTTGTGTGTGTTATGGACAGGCTGTGAGCAGAAGAGATGCAGGACTGGGTTGACATTAAATGCAGAGAATGTTTCAAGTCTGGATGTGGTTTTGCACCTCCTGTCCAAACCTCTCAGCCCCTCAAACCTCCCTGTCCTCTGAGGGCACTGGGGATGGCCATGAGCTGGTGTCACAGGTGAAACCAGCACCCAACTTGCCTGGCCACACGCCCACATGGGCTCCTGAAGGCAGAGAACTCTGCACAGGCTGCTGGGCACAGCTGGATGGTTGTAGGGCTTGCTGTACCCTCATTCCTAATTGCTCTTTGGGAGATTCTGTCTGCCGTTTTCAGCTCCAACTTGGGTGTTTTCAAGTTGGTGCTTGTCATTTCCCAACTGCATTAATAATTAAAAGTAGTTGGCGCAAATTCCAGCTCCTGAAGCACCATGTTGGTGTTCTTTGCATTCTCCCTCCTCACTCTTGTTTCCCAAACTTTCCTTTCCCTAGGTACAAGCAGGGCCTCCTGCAGCCAAGCCAGTCCTGACTCCAGTGGAAGACATTTATGGTCTGAGTTTACTCACCTGGTAAGGCCACAGCACCACTGTCCCTGGGTTGGTATTTGTCCCACTTTGACTCTCATGTTTGTTCCTACCATAATTCATAGAATCACGGAATTGCTAAGGTTGGAAAAGACCTCTAAGACCGTTGAGTCCAACCCTTAATGCAGCACTGCCAGATCCAACACTAAACCACGTCCCCAAGTGTCACATCTACATGGTTTTGGAACACTTCCAGGGACAGTGATTCCATCACTTCCCTGGGCAGCATATTCAAATGCCTGATCACCCTCTCAGTGAAGAAATTTTCCCTAATTTCCTGATGATTCCTGCTCTTCTCCCTGATGTGGCTCTGAGGCTGCCTCAGCCTCTTCCCTCTTTGCCATCACCTGTCCCCCTGTTCTGCCCTGGGATCTGCTTCACTTTGTGCTTATGTGATGTTTCACATATGAATTGAAAACAGTTTAAAAATGGCTCATGCACTTGGAAACACCCCAGAGCTGGGTCATTCCAACCCTCTGCCTGGCAGTGTGCACCCCACAGGGTGCCCCCAGGCTGGTCCCACCTTCCCTCTGCACGTGCTGCTCCAATACCTCTTGCTGCAGGAATAGCAGTCCTGAGGAGTCCAACTTCCCAACACAGGCAGCTTCCGTGGGTGGTGGGATCTCTGTGGGCAAGTTTTGGGTTGCAGTGTCTGCTCTCTGCAAATAATTTTGCTTTTTGGCACAGTTTACTGGAGTAAAGGGGCCTCCTCTGTTCACCATTCAACCGTGTTCAAGTGGGGCACAGTCCTTCCCTGCACTCCTGGCTGCAGACTGAGCTGAGAGAATTCCTGAGGGAATTGCTCCTGGGAGCAATGGGGTGGGCTTTGTTAGTAGGTTAACAGGGTTTTCTGAGCACTCCATGGCTTTGACTCCACGTCACGGTGCTTTGTTGCAGCTCAGAGCGAGAGGAGCGTGACGTGCACCAACATCTTCCTCCAGTGGCACAAAGCAAAGCGTCCCTGCCATCTCCATGTGCCCCAGGAGCACAGGACAGCTCTGGCTGTGGAGTTCCCCCCATCAGACAGGCCTTCTCCTTTGGTGCTCTGAACTTCATCAGCTGCAGGAAGGCAGCTCCTGCCGAGCGAGGGGGGGCTGGGGACGCCCCTCGGAAACGCCGCAGCTGGGAGCTGGACCTGGACCCCAAGGGAGCAGGAGGGAGGGGGCCTGGTGGCAGAGCACCTCTGACGTGGACTGCATCGACCCCTTTAGTGCTGGGGCAGCGGGGAGAAGACTGGGAATGGGATGGAAGGGGAGCCAAGCCTGTTTGGAGTTCACAGTGGCTGAACGCTGGGCACTCAAGCTTCCAGGATGGATTTTCCCCTGTGGACCTGAACCCCTCCAGACGAGAAGCAGATGGCCCCCCAAGCCACAGGAACCATGGGCAATGCCCTTACCCTTATCTCTGCTCAGCAGAAGATCCCTACTTCTCGTCACTCTCTCCAGACGACCCCGTGTCCCCAGTGTTTTCTGAGTGCTTTGTGGAGGGGCAGGATGAGCTTCTTCCTTCTTGTGCTGCCAGTGCCCCACTGCAGCCCTCCATAGCCAGCTCCCCACTGTCCCACCACGCTCCCCTGGACGAGGAGAGGATGTCCCCAGCAAGTAAGTGCTGCAGGGCTGGGATATATGGGGCTGGATCACTCTGGATTGCTGGAGGGAGCAGATGGTGTGGTTTTTTGGTGTCCAGGCTGCTCCTCAGGACTGTGCTCCTATGGGAGCTGAGGGAACAACCAGTTTCGTCCTCACACTCTTTTCATCCTGCCTTAATTTTTTCCCATAACCAACATTTTTTGGAACAGCGTGATTTTGGGGTTTGCATTAATACACAGTGGTTCAGAGCAGCTGTGTAATGCAAACCTTGGAACAGCTCTCACAGGAAGGTGGGGGCTGGTGCTGACCAATTCTTACAACAAAAAAGCATCCAGAAAGCTCCCAGACGTGGTTTTCTCTGAGGATGTAGTTTCCAGGTCAAAACCCACTGCTTTCTGCAAAATGTCTTGCAGGGGGACACTGAAATCTTAGTGAGACTGAGAGAACCAGGACTTCAGAGTCCAGAGCAACCTGATCTAGTGGGTGACACCCCCACCCATGGCAGGGAGTTGGAACTATATGGTTTTTAAGGTCCCTTCCAACCCAAACCATTCTATGATTTTATGATTCAACATAAGTGTTTTGCCTAGATCTTGTGGCCTTAAGACCATCATTCTCCATGTGAGAAAGGCAGAATTATTCCTTGGCCCACTCAGACACTTCCTTTTGCCTGCAGCTTTGGCATTTGCTCCGCTTTGTGCTGCTCAGGCCCTTCAGCATTCAAGGTCACAAAAACATGCTCGTTATCCAGGTGCTCCTGGGAAGTTCTGGGAGTTGCAGCACAAGCCGAGCAGCAGCAGTTCCACCAGCTGCTCATCATCTTCCCCAGCCCAGTGGGAATTCTGCTGCCAGCTCTGCTGGAGGTCTGTCCCTGAGGCCACGTGGCCTGGTCAACCGGTGCTGAGATTCTCTGGATTTTTAACCCCAGTTTAGAGGTGTTTAACCATCACCTCTGGAGCGTGGCAGGGCAGGAGCAGTGTCATGCCATGCAGGTAACCTGTCCATGTCTCTCCATGCAGGTAACCTGTCCGTGTCTTTCCAATTCCCCACTCTGCCACAGCCAGACGATGACGATGATCCCCCACCCCTGCCCCAGCGCACCCCCGAGTCCTTTATTGTGGCCAATGACCCGGGTAAGTGCATCCAACAATGTTAAATGTGGAGCACTGAGGGACCAGCCAACGTTTGTTCTTCCGTAGCATCCAGCAGTGGCTGTGCTCCAGCTGCCTGGGGAGAGAAATGACCTCTCCTGTGTTCAATTGCTTCCAGGACAATTTCCTCTGGCCACTTCTGATTTTCAGCTTCCAGACAGAAATCCAAATATCGGGACCTCTTGGGAGTGGAGTGGTGAGACTCACTCAGAGGGCCTTCATGACTCTGTGAGGCTGAGACCATGTAAGGTAAGTAAGTGGCTTTTTATCTCTTCTCCAGCACTATCCCTATGCTATTTTCCTTATCATGTTTCCTTCTGTGAGGAAGACCCTAGTTTTGGCACTTTGTACTTTCCATAAATTATTTCATAGAATCACACAATCCCAGAATGGTTTGGGTGGGAAGGGGTCTTAAAGCCCATCTCATCCCACCCCCTGCCATGGGCAAGGACACCTTCCACTAGCCCAGGTTGCTCCAAGCCCTGTCCAACCTGGCCTTGGACACTTCCAGGGATTTCAGGGCTCAGGACTGGAAGGAAGATATGGCCTCAGCCAGGCTCCTCCTCATCAACATCTACTTTACTCCAAACATTATTTTTGTGGGCCCTGAATGGGAATACAAGGTAATAAACATATTGTCCCTCATTTAGAGGAGGATAATGAAGACAGGAGGTTGGTGGTCCACTGAAGTTCACACAGCCCTGTGGAATAAGCAGGAGCTGAACAAAATGTAGGCATCTCTTGATCATCCCATAGCTGACTGACAGCTCTGCGGAGTGAAAGGATAAGGCACAAGTCTGTCTTCCATTACACGAGCGTGGGGGGGTGTGTGGGAGGGTGTTTGCACATCACATCCTTTCCTCCTCTTCTCTGGCTTCCTTGTGTGCAAGAGGACGACATTTGGTTGTGGGAATTTTAAATACCTGCCTTGTTTTTTTTTGTTTTCAGAGTGTGAAGCTTCGGAGCCCCCCGAAAGGTATAAGTTTAACGCTGCGATAATCTTTAGAATTAAGATCTGCTTTTTACTGAAGCCGCCTTGTTTAGTGAATGTCATTAGGATCTGTGCTTAGTCTGATGGAAATTTTGTGTTGCTAAATAGTTCTGGAACTAAATACTTCTAACCAGAACTAGACAGTTCTGCAACCAAAGGAATTGGCAGTTTTATATTTCCTAGTCGGCTCCTGCCTCATCCCATACATGAGGATGTTCCTTGCAGCCTCCTCTTCTGCTGCATGTTGTGTGTTTCCTCTGAGACAACTGAGATATGCTCGTTGGTTATAAAATATATTTTTTTTTTTTCAAGCTAGGTAGCCTACTCTTTTATCTTTGCTTTCTCAGAGACAACCTGGGATCTCTCTGACTCTCCTCCCCCGCTTCCTGAAAGAACCCCGGAGTCGTTTGTTCTCACTGAGGCAGCAAGTGAGTGCTGAGCTCTTTTCTCAGGATGTAACTGAGGTTTTATATTCACACCTAAACCTGTGGATAGCTGAGATCGTGGCCCACTTGTTCAGAGCATTACCAGGTAGTGCTTCAGGCCTTCAGGGCAGGAGAGTTCAGCAGATACAAAGAAAACAAACACAACCAGGGGACTTGCTGCAAATTTCTAAAAGTGGTGCATTGGAGGAAATGAAAAACAACAACAAAGCACTTGGGAAAAAGCAGGAGGATTTGTGAATGACCACTGAAAACACATGTATGATGTATGTTCCCAGGTCTGCAGCCTGCTGCAAGAAATTCCTCGAGTCCTGCGGGTTTGGAGAACAAGGGCTCTGAAACCTCATCCAAAGAGGCCATGAAGTGCTTCAGGAGGAGCAAGGTAAAGGAAACAAAAGAAAAGGTGTTGAAAATGGAGAAGGTGCCAGTGGCTGTGTCTTGGAACTCCAGCCACCCGGAGTGCCAGTTCCTCTTGGAGAAAGTTGCTCCGGTGGTGTGTCCTACAAGGGCCGAATCATCATCAGCCTCCTCTTTTTGTGACTCCTGTTAATTATCCTCGTGAGCTTGTATTTTGGGATGTTGTGGTTGAGCAGAAAAGCATTTGAGGAAAACAGCAAGGAAAATACAAACTGGAGGCATTCGGGGTGACAAGGAAAAGGCCAGGGGCAGAGGGATTGACACGAGTCTGCTTTTCAGTCTCAGCTGCAGGACACAATGCTTTTTATGAGAATAATACATGTACATTTACCATTGAATTCCCTTTATCACAGTAGCAGACTATTTATACATGAGTATTTATCAGTGTATTTATACATGTCCATTTATCCATGAATTCCCTTTGTCACACCACCTGATCTGTTGCTTCCTACATTTTTTTCCAACAAGCCTTTTCTTTTTTTTTTTTTTACAGAGCATGAAAATATTGAAAAATGTGAGAAAAAGTAAGTCTTTAAGGCTAATGTGCATCTTCCCAATGGATTTAAACAAGTATTAAAATACGTGGGATGGAAATATGAAGGACTTTTCCAAAGTGAAAGTCCCTCCATATCTGCTATTTTGGAGCAGTTCAGGTCTTCAGGACCAGAGACCAACTGCTCCAATTTCATTTTTTATTTCTAGGCATCTGCAGCCCATCTTCACTGACAAAATCATCAGAGCCTGCCCCAACAAACCCTCTGAGGTCTTTCCTTAACTTTGGTATGTTTTCTTCTTTATGTTTTGGTGGGAAGAACCTGTGTTTTGACAATCTAAATGCCAGGCAGAACACTAACAAATTACAAACGTTACAAATAATGTTTTTGCACATTTACAACTTTATTCACAACTACAGGATGTTGCTTTTCTACTGTATCTTAAAGTTTGGAAAGGAACTGAAATTACTAAGTATTTTCTAATACCTTATTATCTTAAGGAATCACATAATCAACATCTGTAACATATGGAATATATTGCATTAAAAAAAAATGTCATTTCTGCCTAGGCTTTGCAAATCGATTTTCAAAACCTAAAGGCCCAAGAAATCCACCCCCAACATGGAATATTTAGATGCATTTTATAGACTCGGTGTTGCAGATTTTTGAAGTCCTCCTGAGGCACCTGGAATGCTCATCCCAGTGAGGTTTCCAACAAAATAAACACATCAAAAGCTGTTGCACGGTATTGGCAGATCAGGCACTACTTGCACACTCTTCAACTGAAGATTTAAAGTGAAGAAGAGTGAAAAAAGGACCAACAGCTTTCAGTTAATTTACAACAGGGTGGAAAGTAAACCTGGGAATAGATATTTTATCCGAAGGAGGGACATTTTTTGTTGTGTTTTGGAACGGGATCATTTCAAAAGGATGGATTTGAGCCTAAACTGGAGATAGGACCCAGTGAAGACTGTGGAATGATCTGGAAGGCCAACGGAGCAGAATGAAGTGGGTCAAGACCCTGGATGGTGCAGGCACAACATCTCTTTGACATCACATTTGTAGGTCTACTGCAATCAAAGACACTTAAATGTTTACATTACTTGGACTAAAAAGTAACTAGCATCCTAGATTTTAGAAATAATTTAAGCTTTTTGTTTGTTTGTTTGTTTTTTCCATCTAAGCACTTCAGAGAATTTGTCTGGATTTGGGTCAATAGGACTAAGATGGTGATTGATCCCGAATAAATTATACCCGTTTAATTGACCCTGCTGTCCTTCTATCTGAAAAAAAAAAAAAAAAATCCCAAACCACCACCACAGCAAGCAAAATATTATTGTTTTTCTAAAAAAACAATGCTTTTTAAAAGGATCTGTGCGTCTCCACCACAAAATTTCAGGCAGGAACTGGGAAGATGAGATTCCTCACCAGATCCCACTGCTGTTTCTATCCTCAGTGGGGATAAAGATGCTGAAAACAGCTTTGTATGATTGTTTTCCTGTAAAGACAGAAACAAAACTGGAATATGTGGAATTCGGTCAAGAGGAATGTGCTGACCACTGCTGGAGTAGAAAACTCAAGCTGATTTAAAGCTACTTTTGCTGGAGGAATAGTCAGAACTGCCTTATTTTTCACTCGAGTCGCGGGTTTCCTCAACAGCAGAAACTGGTTTAGTGGAATGTGTCTCTTCCCGTGGCAGGGGGTTGGAACGAGATGAGCTTTAATGTCCCTTCCAACCCGAACCACTCTGGGATTCTGTGGTTCTGTGATCCACTGATTTCATTCCCGGGCGGGGATGTCCTCCTCTCCCTGGGTCTCAAAGCCTTCCTTCCTCCGCCCTTCCCGGCGGTCGGCGTTTTAACGGATTTAACGTTACGACGGGCGAGAAACACCGTTTAATAAACGTTATTACCCGCTGCGCCCTCACAGCCCCCCCCCATCTTCCAGCGCTCCCTCAGCGCTTTCCCGCGCGCGCCCCCCCCGGCTCACGTGACCCCCCCGCCCCGCGCGCGCGCGCGCGCCCCTACCGGCGACGAACTACCCGTCCCAGGGTGCCCCGCGGGCCGCGCGTGCGCGGCGGCTCCCCGGCGCTCGGGCCATTTAAATGTGTGTGAGGGAGCCCCTGAAATGGCCGCGCAGGTCGCCGCGGTGCCGCGGGCCCCGGAGGAGCCGCCGCCGCCACCGCCCTCAGCGGACCGGCCCACCCGGCCCCGCGGGCCCCGCCGCCGGCGGGCCGCACCGGGAGAGCCTCCCACCGCCAAGCGGGCCCGCCCGAGCGCGGCGCTGCTGGCCGGGCCCGGCCCGGCGGAGCCGCTGCCCCCGCCCGCCCTGCCCGCCGCGGGGCTCTTCACGTTCTCCCCGCTCAGCCTCCCGCCTCCCGCGGAGCGCCGCCACCACCACCGGCACCACGGCGAGCCCACCGCGCACAAGGCGAGGCGCGGCAGCCCCGCGGACGGCGCGGCGGGGCGGCCCAGCCAGCGAGGTGAGAGCGCCGGGCGGGGCGCGGTGGGTTCCCCGCGGCGGGCCGGGCCGGGCCGGGCCGGGGCCGCCTGCCCGGGGAGGCAGCGCCGCGGGGCAGCGCCCGGAGCACCTGTGGAGGTGTGAGGGCAGAGGGAGCGCCCCGCGGGCTCGGTGGCCCGTGTCCGGTGGTGTCGTGGAGGGCACGGCGGGGCTGCCCCGCGGGACGGGGCGCGGGGATGGTCCTGGGGCTGCCGGGGCTGCTGCTGTCAGGGTCGCCCTCATCGCAGGTGCAACAGCAACGGCTGCGGGAGCGAAGCGTTCTTCCCTCCGTGTGTCCAGTAACGTATGCTAGAGCTGGTAGTCTGCTGGATTTTTTAATTTATTATTATTTATTTTCTTCAGTAAGAGGGGATCCCATCAACCCCTACAAATATCTATAAGTGGTGTCAGAGGATGGTGCCACACTCTTTTTAGTGACAGGACGAGGAGCAATGGCCATAAATTAAAACACAACGAGGTCTGCCTCAACATGAGGAAGAACTTCATTACACTGAGGGTGGCAGAGCACTGGAACAGCTGCCCAAGGGAGGATGTGGAGTCTTCCTCTCTGGAGACATTCCAGACCCACCTGGATGAGTTCCTGTGTCACCTGCTCCAGGTGACCCTGCCTTGGTCTGGATGATCTCCAGAGATCCCTTCTAATCCTAACAAATCTGTGACTTCTCTAATAGAAAGGCCAAAATATCTCTGGATTTTGGTGCGTGGTGGGTGTGTTTTTGTTTGTTTTGTTGGTTTGTGTTTTGGGTTTTTTTTAACAGCACAGAATGACTCTTCTGTTTCTGCTCGCAAATTTATTGTAGTAAAAGCCTCTTAGTGAGAGCAACGTAGATAAAAAGTAACTGCAAAAGCTGCTGTAATAAAAATACTATGTTGTGAATTATGCTTTTGGAGAGTATGTGAAGGTTTTGTGCCAAAGAAACCAAAGATCCACGTGCTTACAGGAGTCAGGTCTGTAGTGTAAATTCTGGATAGGACTGTTAAGAATAGTCAAAACTGTTACTAGGAGAGACTTTTTCTCTGCTGGTTAATGCTTCTACTCCACTGTACTTGAATAATGACTGTAAAAGCTACTGGATTGTAAACTTCTGCAGTGTTATCAATATTTATCAGGCTAGAGTTTGAAGCAGTGTGTCCTTGTAGGCTGGAGTGTCACTGTGTCAGTTCTAACCCAGAATTAAATAAGGCCTCTTTTAATGAGGGCTTAAAGAGTGTGAAAATGAGCATCAAAATTCCTGATTTGCAAAGGAAAGCTGTTTGCTAATCTGAAGCTCTTCACTGCTTGCCCTCAGCTGCATGTGTTGTGGTTTTCAGGAAGGGGCTGGATTTCTTTCCCTGACTATCAGTTTTTATTTTGATGTATAATCTAATTAAACTACCTATTACACTGACTGTACTGTGCTTATCTGTGGCCTCAGGTGACAATGAACACCCCCCCTGTTTTTGCTGTTTAATAGTGGTGCTGGTGTGCTCAGTTATATGATGTCTAATCATTTTGGAGTAGCTGATTTATTGGCACTGCTGTCACTTGGCCTTGCTGCTGAGCCCACAGTTTAGTGACCTGGCCATAGCTTTTTTTATGTTTGAAGTATTGTAGGCTTTCTGTTTATTTAAAGGAATAATTAAAACTGTATTTCCCTCAAGATTGTCAGGCATTATGTTCCCCATAATGTCAGTGTTTAGCTTCACTTAATACAGTGGTTTCTCACTGTGGTAGTGGGACTCTGCTGTGTTCAGTGGATCCAGCAGCAGCCAGGGCAGCTTTTATCCTGAAGATAGACCACTGGAAGCTCCCAAATGCAAAGATTCCTCAGTGTTTGTCTGCTGTTAGGGAATAGCTTCAAACAGGCAGATACTCTGAATTAAAACTACCACATGTGTGGGCTTTTCAAGCGATACCTAAAATCAGAAATGCTTAAAATAAGATACCTTTTACAACCAAAAATTCTTAGAAGCATCTATAGGGAAATATTACCAACAGCTCAGTGGCATAAAATTCTTGTTTAGTTCCAGCTTGGAATCTCTGATCCCAGCAGAACAAAGATCCTGTGTGTGACTTGTGTGCTCACTGCAGTGAGAGAAGCAGTGCCTGCACTCGAGAGCTCAGCATTGAGCAAGCTCGTGCACTTCACTTCCGAGTCTTGCAGAAAACCTTATTCCAAGAACCGTTTTGGTTGACTTCCCAAAACAAGTGATACCACCCTGCTCTTCCTGGTTTCCCTGGCTGGAATAGAAAAAAATCAGGGCCTTTGCCATTTGTGAAGGCTACAGCAGCACTGTGAAAACTTGTATTTCAGGTCCTAAGACTATTGTATGGAGTGAGTGTTAAGCAATCGACTCTTTCTTTGCTCCGTGAGTAATTCTGCTGTTCCACCAGGCTGTTAGGAAGGTCACCCATCCCCAGTAAGGAGCTCTGGAGACCAAACCAGTAATGATCTGGTTAATCACTGGGGCTACCCTAAAGAACTTGGAGCTGTGTGTATTTATCATGACCCCCTTTCTCATAGAGCAGCGTAACATGTTTTTTCCTTGTAACTTCAAGTGTTACAGGAGAAGGATACCAATTTGCAGCCCAGGAAAGGGAATTTTGTTAACAAAAAGCCCTGTGCTGAGGGGAAAACTGCAACTTTAGCTACTGCACCTTCTGGTTGGGTTTTGCCTTCAGCAGCAGGTTGTTCTGATTCCCGTGGCTATCCTGGTAACAGAGATTTATGGGCATTGTTGGATGAAATAGTTCTTTGGTTCGGGCACATTAAAATCTTGTCTTGGGAATTGAGTTTTTAACAGCTGAAGCATCAAGTTTTCTAACTACCTTTGTCACTTGCTAAATGTCATTTAAACTAGTTTTTATTCTTGAAAGATAAGCGGTTAAAGTATTACATTTTGCCTAACAGAGCTACTTCTTTACATTTTACCTCTCAGGGTGATTAACCTTAAAGAAACCCTCAAAACAGCCTCTTAATTTCTCTCTCTGCATTAACTGAGTAGTTAACTATAAGACTAGCAGCAGATAGCTGAAACTGTGGATGTGATGATCTGGGTCCTTTAATTCAAAAGATCAACAGCCTAGGATTTAAATATTTTTACCTCCTACATGTCAGTAACACTTGTACCTCTTCGACTGTTCTGTTTTGCTTCTATA